TGCACGGGCTGAGCTCGACCATTGTTTCCGATCGCGATCCACAATTCACTGCAGCTTTTTTCAAAGAAGTATTCTCTCAGCTAGGAACTAAATTGGCATTCAGCACTGCTAACCACCCTCAAACGAATGGTTTGACAGAGAGAGTTAACCGGCAAGTGGGAGATGTTCTAAGAGCATTTGTGAACTTGAGACAGGACAATTGGGATTCGCTTCTACCACTCTGCGAGTTTGCAATTAATAGTTCACAACAGTCATCTGTAGCTAATACACCGTTCTATCTGAACTATGGGTTTGACCCTAAGTCCCCGCCCGAATTCATTCTTACGGGAGGGGAAAGGAGTGATTCGGTCGATTGGCTTCATGAGCAGGAAGCCGCACTAAGGATAGCTCGAGATGCAATGCTCGACGCCCAGGCAAGGCAAGCTCTATACGCAGACCAGACGAGAACGCCCAGTGATTTGAAGGTTGGTGATAGCGTTCTTGTCTACAGAGACTTTCTACTGACCCCGGAAGCTCGTGGCCAGCCCTCTCGGAAGTTGCAACCCAAGTGGTTTGGTCCGTATCGTATCCAGGCTAAGATTGGAGCGAATGCTTTTCGCTTGGAACTACCCCGTGAACTTCGCTGCCATCCCGTGTTTAATGTCACTGCTCTTAAACGCTACGAAGAGAACACGATTTCTGGAAGACACCAACCCCCGCCTCCGCCCTTCACAGATCTAGATGGACACACACGCTATGTTGTCGAAGCCGTTTTGAATCACCGACACCGCAGTGGTGAGCAACACTTTGCGACCTGCATCGCCTTGACAATGTCATAGGTGACCACACAGTTCGAGAGATTCTTCGAGAGAAGCATCCAGCAGCATCACCTCTAAACGAAGACGCAGTTATGGACGGAGAGCCTCTGCCCCAACCACATCCGGTCATCTTCACGGCACTCAATAGGGACGTTATTCGCCAAGCTGCGCTGCGCACGCATGGTGCAGCTGGGCCTTCAGGCATGGACGCAGCCAATTGGCGAAAGATTTGCACCTCCTTCCGCTCAGCCTCGGATGCACTCTGCGATGCTATGGTTACCTGTGCCAGGCGAATAGCTACCAAGTATGTGGACCCCATCTCACTGGAAGCTTATGTGGCTTGCCGTCTAGTGCCTTTGGACAAGCAGCCAGGCGTTTGGCCTATCGGGATCGGGGAAGTCGTCCGCCGCATTCTGGGCAAAGCCATACTTCAAATTGTTGGCTCGGCAGTAGAGAGTGCTGTTGGCTGTCTGCAGTTATGCGGTGGGCAAGAGTGCGGCGTGGAAGCCGCCATTCATGCGGTGAAGACCACCTTCGATGATGACCACACGGAGGGAGTCCTGTTCGCGGATGCAACGAACGCATTCAATCGCCTAAATAGAGCTGTTTGCCTGCGCAATGTTCAGCGGCTATGTCCTGAGCTCGCGCCAGCTGTTATCAACACCTACCGCTCCCCAGCTCACCTGTATGTTGGAGGAGAGGTGATCCTGTCTTCTGAGGGCACCACTCAAGGAGACCCATTGGCTATGCCAATGTATGCGCTTGGCACGGTGCCACTGATCCGGGAAGCCGCTGGGGCCATGCGGTCCTGGTATGCCGATGACGCAACTTCAGCCGGCGCTCTCCGACGAATGCGCACCTGGTGGTCCATCCTAGTAGATCGAGGCACCAGGTAAGGTTACGACATCAACCCGTCAAAGTCCACTCTCCTCGTGAAGCCACAACATCTTGTGCTAGCAACAGAATTGTTTGCCACAACCGGGGTTAACATCCGGACGGACGGCTATCGTCATCTTGGTGCTGCCCTAGGCTCTGCCCTGTTCTGCGACGGTTAAGTGTCGCAGAAGGTTGACACATGGTGCACAGAGCTGCAGACCCTCGCCAATCATGCGGCGTCTCAACCTCAGGCTGCTTACGCTGTCCTTACCCATGGTCTCCGCCATAAGTGGTCATTCCTTGCGAGGACAATGCCAGCCATCGCGGACCTCCTGACACCGCTGGAAAACTCCATCAGCCAAGTTTTCCTCCCTGCACTGACTGGTCGCCAGGCTCCCGGCGAGGAAGAACGTGCCATCCTGGCGCTTCCGTGTCGTCATGGTGGTTTGGGAATTCTAAACCCAGGGACCCTTTCCCAGCAGTACGACACGTCTACGGCTGTCACCAGACGTCTAGTCGAGCAGCTCCTTCGACAGGAGGAATCCATCGAGGAAGTTGTTGCTGCCACCAAGGCAGCCAAGGCGGCCCAACGCACAGCTAATCGCCAAGATCAGGCAATGGCCCTCTCCTCCCTCAGGGATACCCTGAGTGACGACCACAGGCGGACTCTGGATCTAGCCGCAGAGAAAGGTGCCTCCAGTTGGCTCACTAGTCGGCCATCTCGCCGGTTCCAGTTTACCATCCACAAGGCTGGCTTCCGGGATGCCCTATGTCTGGGCTACGGCTGGACCCCTCCCCGGTTGCCGTCTCACTGCACCTGTGGAAAGCCCTTCGACACCACCCATGCCCTATCATGTGCCATCGGAGGATTCACTGGGATGCGCCACAACGAGCTCCGGGATCTAACCGCTAATCTGTTGCGTGAGGTTGCGCATGACGTCAGCGTGGAGCCAGAGTTGGAACCTCTCTCTGGTGAAACATTCCCTCTCCGGTCGGCCAACACGGAGGCTCATGCTCGTCTTGATGTGGCAGCACGTGGAGGGTATGGGAGTAGGTTAGAGAGGACAATGTTTGATGTTCGGGTGTTTAACCCTTTTGTCCCCTCCAACCGAAACCTTACTCTCCCGTCTGTCTACAGAAAGCACGAGCAGGAGAAGAGGCGTAAATATGAACGGCGAGTCCTGGAGGCGGAGCATTCCTCGTTTGTTCCCGTGGTTTTTGCAACCACTGGCGGCCAGGGGAAAGCTGCTTCGGCCCTCTTTGCCAGGATTGCCAGCAAGCTGTGTGAAAAGCGCCGTGAGCCTTTCCCGGTTATGATGGCTTTTGTACGGGCGAAGATCTCCTTTTGCCTTGTTCGGGCAATGGTTGCCAGTCTACGTGGTCACCGTCGGAACCCGCCTCGACATCTGTCTGGTTCGGCTGTGCTGGCGGCTGCTGAATGTGCCCTGGTGCCATAAACGGTGTACATGATACAGTACAGTTTCTTTGGTAATGGTGTTTCATTTACTTTTGTATTTTCAGTTCGTTTTCTTTGTATTTAACTCCTCATTGTTTTTTACCAGGCGTGGGCCATCCCCTGACTTCATAGGTGCCAAACATTTTACGTTTTTCATTTCTATTTTGAGAGTTTAATAAAATTTGGACTTGTTTCCTGGTGCATTGGAAGGGTTACCCCAGCAGCGAAGCTACGTGGGAGCCCGCTGGCAACCTATGTGATGAGTCTGGTCGGAATATTAAACCGCTGCAGAACTATCTAGCCTCACAACGACAGCAGCCTTGATCTAACTGGGCTGAGCCATATGCATCTCTTACTGAGATAGACTGATATAGTTTTGCGTCATCTCCTTGTGAGAGTGATGGAGTTGAGTTGGATTACACTTCAATGTGGTTATGCATGTGCATGAGTGATTATTTAATATTCCCCTTTCCACAATTGCATCTCCTAACTGGATTGTGTTATCTAATAGAACTTTGGGCTTCCTATGGGGCCGGGAGAGTGTAATAGTTTTACCTTGACACTTCTTGCTTGTCTTATGGTAACACCTTGTGTTCCTACTATTCTCACTCCTGCGGTTATCGCCTTTCTTTTGCTTTATAACCTCTGGTTTGAACATCATTCGGGGAATTCTCCAATCAATCAAGTCTATACTGTTACAGATGGCCTGGGGAAGAAATTGTTCTTGAAGGAACTTAGTTGAAGAGACTGACTGCACTGGTGAAAGAAGAAGGCGATGAAGAGTCACCATTGCATCGAAAAAATAAATAGTTTTGTCTTCAGGATCGTGTGCTTTGTTTCACTTTTGCTTCGATCTTCAGGCTCAGACTAGAATCGCAGTTTAGGCCACCCTTTCTTTTTTCGTTGTTTAACGTCCGCGCCCGCGTACCTTTTTGCCTCCGACCGGAAAAAAACAAGAAAGTAGTAGTACCAATAATATGCGAAGTTGTAAATACATGATTGTGTAGTTTCACAGTGTGCCGATCATGACCTTAAACTTATAATCTTGCCTCCCGGGCATGCCTTTGTCTCTTGTGTTCTTTTTCTTTTTTTTTGTTGGCTTTTAAATATCGTACGGTGTGTGTCCTAGTACATGTAAAAATCCAGATGTACATGTAATGAATTCATGACATGCTCCATGCTATGTACGAGTACCTGTTTTGTTGGATTCATCAGGCATGTGCTCCAACGACAATGTACCATCAAAGAATGTTGTTCTATGCCTGCAAGCAGGGAGTAGTACAATACCGGTATTGTACTACTCCCTGCCTGCAAGTGCCGTTAGACCCAGAAATATTGTATATTATCACATGCTTTACTGGTCAAAATGTTTGATTGGGGTTTCCAGTTTTTGGAATGGGTTTTTGGTTTTTTTCGCCCTCCCGCGTACCTTTTCGCGAAAAAAGGACGTTAAACAATGAATTATTAGCAAAGGGTGGCCTTATAATTTATAGGCAGTTTACCCTGCTGCTGGGGACTGATCAGGAGTTGCACACTCTTGGGGGTTATGAACTCTTGATGGTACAAGACGGCAACGTCTGTAGGGCCTTCCCTATCAAAATAATAAATTCTACTACTACTACTACTACTACTACTACTATGAAAGAAACCAGGGAGTCGTAAAAATTAATATTTTACGACTCCCTGAAAGAAACACACAGCTCAGATGAAAGTAAAGAGTATGGGAAGCAAAACCGTACACACTTCTGAAATGCGTATACTGTACTATAATTATTGTACGCGCCCACCACTCTTTTTTTTACATCACGAATTTCGTAGTGAGCGCGGCGCCACCCGGACCGTACCCCCGAGTGATTTCGAGTGTTTATGTACGCGTGTACTCACAAACATTCAAAAATTTTCATTCGAATGTTTTCAAATTAATTTATACAGCAAAGAAGGTTTCTTGCTGTATTGGCAATTGTTCGGTCATTGTCGTAAAACAGTTAGGCTCTCGATCTCAGTTCTTGCACGTTCTTCGTCTTGCTGGAGACTCAGCGGGGAGCAGCTTTTTCCGTGACTCTAGTCTGTAGACAAAACGATTAGGTAAGGAGCAGCTCTCTAACCTGCACCAGACGATCAAGTACCAACGACGAACGTAGAAATTTATTTTCACTTGAGAACGACGAGCCAGTCGGTTTCTGTGGAAGCGAAGATTCGTAGATGTGCCTGCCTAGGAACTGGTGGGTATAGAGGAGCGGACATCTTCAGCAAGGCGAAGTGTCAGAACTTCACAGAAGATCTATACTGGCCTGTGTCACGCAGCCAGGAACTGGAGTGATGGTTTCTGTGGCAGAGGATGGAGAGACGATACTGGAGTCCAAAGAGAGGTTGTTCGCCAGCTCTTTACCTGTGTATCAGCAGCGATACAACGCCGTGACCGATTACGTGAACCAGACTGGCGCACGCCGTGTGGTAGACATAGGCTGCGCCGAGGGCTCGCTTATGGTCAACGTGAAGGAGCTGTGCCCTTGCGTGCAGGAGCTGAGCGGAGTGGATCTGGATGGAAGCCTGGTGGACCGGAGCCGGGAGAGATTCCGGCCGCTGGCCTACGCGTACATGCACCGGCGCACAGATCCGCTGGAGATTGGCGGCTACTGCGGCTCGATCTCAACACCGGACAGGAGATTTGTGGACGTCGACTTGATCAGTATGGTGGAGATCATTGAGCACTTGTACGACGACACCCTGGCACGAGTACCCGAGGCGATATTCGGCCGCCTGCGCCCTCGAGCCGCTATCGTCACCACGCCAAACTCCGATTTCAACGTCCTCTTTCCGGACATGGGCATCGGGGCGGACGGCCAGCCACGCTTCCGACACTGGGACCACAAGTTTGAGTGGTCGCGTGCCGAGTTCGAAACCTGGGCCACCGGCGTGGCGAGTACCTACGGCTATGGAGTGAGGTTCAGTGGTGTGGGTGCTGGTTTGCCGGGAACAGAGCACCTCGGCTGCTGCTCGCAGATGGCCACATTTGAACGCATCACCGACGAGGTTGAGTTTGCCGCGCACGCTCCTACAGCGGATGACGACGACGACGCAGCCAGTGCGGTGCCGGCACAAGCGGAGTTTGGTGAGTTTGAGCAGCGCTGGTCCGTGTCGTGGCCGTATACACCGCGGCCCAATCAGATATACACGGCCGTGTCGGCGAAAGCGTATCGCCTCGGCCGCGAGGCGCACGATATACGCGAGGGACTGGATCAAGGCGAGAGTTGTGACTACTACGGTGGCGAGGAGGAGAGCGTCTCCTGCAGTCACGGCGACATCACGCCCATTCTTCTCGACAACGTCGACCCTGACTTGCCATGCGACTGCGGATACGAGGCGAGTATGTCCGCCAGTTCATGTGCATTTGATGCAGACAGTGTTGGTGGTAATGTCGATCTGCAGCTCGGCGCCCCAGGTCCGTCGGCCACTGTAGAACCGCCGTCATCGTCATCATCGGAACAGAAGGACACTGTCCGTCGCTGCGTACCTCACGTCTGCCTGAACCGCATCAGCGCCTGGGATATTCCACTGCACTGCTTCCAGGCGTGTCTCACCTACGACCTTTCTCGCCTGGAGTGCCGCATAGATGACGTCTTGGAAGTGCTGGAGCATCCGCCAGTGACGCCGTCAGCAAATCCGGCCACCATTGTTCTATCCTACACGCCGCCCGTCCTCTCTGCCGATCGGAAGTCCGTGATCTATCCCAATGTCCTGCTAAGGAACAGTGCGGATGAGGAAAGTGACGGCTCTCTTGCCAGTCATGGCGCGGACAACAGTGGCGAACCGGCGGACGACTTTGAAGGCACGTGGGGCGGTGAATTTTACTCGTACTCGTCGGACTGGTGCGACGATGGCGAGGCCGCTGGTACCGAGACTACGGAGACGACTGCGCCTACCTAGATATCTCAGCGTTCAAGTCCGCTCGGTGACCTGAAACGAGGCAACGCCACCCGGACCGAATTAGCGGCCTTGTGAAGTCTACCCGCTAGAAGGCACTTTGACCGTGCCAGAACAAGTCATTACGAATATCGAGAAAAGGACGGTCCACACCGAGCACCGAGTTCTGCCAGAAAAACCTGGGGCTCGGTTCGTTCCTATATCACCTCTGATACCACCGTGTGCAGTGCGTACCATGTATACTGCGGGGAACGGCCGCTCTCTGCTGTGTGACACCCCAGCTGCCGCTGGTGGCGAAACGCTCGTCTCTTGCGTGGACGTCTGTGGCGGCGAGGTCCAGTGCACAATCCCTATCCAAGACGCGACAGTACTCCAACGCCAGCACCATCATTTTTTTATCCTTTTCTATTTGGCCGCTCCTGGAGCTTAGTTTTCAGTATTCTCTGCTTACCTTTCCCGTTCCTGTTTCCGCGTGTCAGTGTTGGTGTCCGTAGTGTACCACTGCAAGGCCCGTGGCCAGATATACTGGGAGATCTACCCGTCAATCATATACGTGTACGCCCGCCCCCCCCCCCCCCCCCCCCTGAATGAAACGAAATGAGCAAAAAATCAAGCGTGTCACTTGTGTTGTTGGCAATTATGTGTGACACTGCAGTTCATCACCGGGTACACCATGAGATGCACCCGGTGTGCTAAGAGTGTTTAAATGCTGCGAAGGCAGAGCTGGCAGTACACACAGTACAACAGTGGCACAACAGCTAACAACGAGCTGTCATTGCCTGATGATGATAGCACTGCGCGTGAAAATCCCTCATGGTACGTTGCAACGGGGACGCGCCTAATTGCTCCATTGTTGTAGTACTGCGTGTTCGCCTAATACATCTACCAGCAATGTATACTAGCAGTCGTGTGCTGCTTAGAGTCAATGCTATCTGCCTTAAGTGCAAAGCTCGCTGTGTTTATCGCAGTTAGAGCAGCGATTGGACAGAAGCCCAAGACAAGTCATTGTACATTATTATTATTATTATTATTTGAGGGATTCCCCAAAGGCGGAAGCCTAAATCAAGGGGGTCAACATCAGTCATGTCTTCATGCATGGCCGTGATCCCCTCATCATTCACGCTTGTCAGTATCTCTAAAGCTGGGTCCAGAAAGTCTGATTTACAGCAATCGTTGGCTGCGCGGCATGTGATAACCGGTCCTGAATTCACCGACTACAACTTCACATGCTTAGTAAGTTCTGTCGTTTACAAACAACTTGAAACAAGCATGACGAACCTGCAGTGGGCATTCACTGCCGCTCAGACAGCTACCATTCGACGTGCACCTGACTCCAGGCAGTTGTAACTAATTTTTAAAGCACTGAATACCGTAATTTCCCAAATTTCCCGTGTACTTTTACCGTATTTTCGGTGCATCTGTTTCATACCTAAATTTTCAATACTAGTACACCGAACAAACACTAACACACATAAAACAGTAGGAAACTGCTTCTCTGTACCTAAAATTTCTGTTCGCCTAACCTGGCCTTTTGCCCTCATACCGAAAATATTGAGCACCGGAAATTTCTGAAATTAGAGTACCTCAGTCAAGAAATTTCTGAAATTAGAGTACCTCAAGACAGGCTGATGGCGGATAGCCTCATGATGTTGCATGCTCAACGATCCACACGTACGTCCATGAAACCCGGACACACACACACACACACACACACATGCCCATCGCGGAAACGATGATAGCGAACAGCTATGTTAGACATAGCAACTTGTGCTGGGATTACACCGTTCAACAGCTTGCAAGGCTGAAGAATTGACCGCCACTATTTTAGCCTGGTCTACACCATAAGGCTACACACACACACACGCACACACACACACACACACACACACACACACACACACACACACACACACACACACAGGGAGGCGCCACAAGCCACACACACAGGGAGGCGCTGTCACATCAACCACGAATATATACAGACATACAGAAGGAGTACGATCAGCTACAGCTGCAAGCGCAAAAGCATACACGAGTCAGCGCACCATTGCACCGACTCAGAGAGGAAAAACCAAACAAAGTGATTACACACATCAGGAAATAAAAATAGACAGGAGCAAAACACCTAAAAAGAACCGGGGCCGAAACAACAACCCCTCGTCCGAAGCAAAGAATTTCGCACAGATAAAATAGCATAAAAATAAATACAAGACAAGGCACGGGGAACGGGCGGATAAAATGGATCAGGATAAAATTTAATATGCCTAATCACCACACAAAAATAGGGGGGAGGGGGAGTATTATTGGTTTTGGAGGCGCAACGCAGCCAGTTAGAGGTCTAAAACAAAGGACAGTGCGCTAGTGCTGTGCCTTAGTCGAGCGGGGAAAAAAAGCAAGCGGAAAGGTCAAATGATCCTGGCACCAAAGGATTGAAAGTAGCTAGGAAAGCAAGAATGTAGAAATGTCAGCGTTGAGACACTGCAGATAAGTCCGCGGGGAGAACGCAAAGACCGAAGAAGGTCTCTTGTTGCAACACACATTACAAGGTCATGCAAACGAAACATTTCGACGCTCAACAGTGCTCGCGCAAGAGTATCCGAACTAGGCTGGTGTTGCCCGGGCAACAGTCCGGGATGCACGCACCTACTTCTGCACAAGCTCACCGACGCGGTTCTTGAGTCCCTCGCACGCCGTCTTGGCGTCGGAGAGCAACATGTTTGTGTTGGGCTTGAAGAAGACGGGGTTATCCACGTCAGCGTAGCCAGTACCTGAATTGTGGAAAAATGATGAGAGGAAACACATTTTCTGTCAGAGCACACATAGCTTGACCTAAGAGTTGAGAGCCAAAGCAGAGTTTATGATACATGTGTCTCCGGGAATGAGAGAGAGAGAGAGAGAGAGAGAGAGAGAGAGAGAGAGAGAGAGAGAGAGAGAGCCACGCACACACACACACACACACACACGCACACACACACGTAGAAGAAGACACAACATGATCCTAATCGTATACGCCCATCCTGCAAAACACTCCAAATAAAGTGAATATTCAAAAAGGCCCACACTCAAATCAGCAGAATTTTACGCTTCACATGTTTTCAGCACAAGAAGCAGTACAAGTCCAGAAAAAGCACTCTTACCCATGGTACGCTTGATGACAATGGTTTGCTTGGCCTTCCATGCCTCGATAACAGGCATACCGGCGATGGGAGAGTTGGGGTCCTCGATGGCAGCGGAGTTGACGGTGTCATTGGCGCCAACAACCAGGCACACATCCGTGTCGGACAGCTCGTGGTTGATCTACGCAAGAAATCAGAGTGGACATCGGGACGTGAGATCTAGACTGCAAGCTTTGCAAGGTTGAAGACTTGACCACCACTACAGTCTACCAGCGATAAGTCGCGTACTTTTGCAATTCGGACGGCTTGTACTTTTGTATAATATGTAAGTCTATACTTTCGAAACGCAATCTGTAGTGCTTGAGATGCATGTGGCGACAGTAGTAAAGACACGCTCACACTGACCTCTTCCATTTCCAACACAATGTCATACGGCGCACGCGCACACACACACACACACACACACGCACACACAAGCACACACACACACGCACACACACACACACGCACACACACACACACTTGTACTTGTTGCTCACTGCCAAAACTGGTCACGTGGGTCTCCCCGGGAGAGGGGAGAGAGACTCAAAAGGAATCTTGGAAAGATGACTCAACTGGCTATTGAACCGCCCAACGGCCGACACCCCCTGAAATCCCAAAAACTCTGGGTGGACTTGAAAATGATCCCACTTATGGGCTCACCACACCTCAGTAAGTGGGTGAGGACATGGTGCAGAAAAAGGATTGACGGCATCAGGGTATCCGTCCTGGGATCCAACTGCAGTTACGCCTGCCCCCAGTGAAGGTAATACTTGCTACTAGTGTGGGTGGCTAAATCAGAGTGGATCTGATCTAAGCGTCACACACACACACACACACACACACACACACACACACACACACACACACACACACACACACACACACACACACACACACACAAGCACACACACACACACACACACACAAGCACACACACACACAAGCACACAAACACACACACACTGACCTCTTCCATCTCAAAGACAATGTCATAGGGCACACCGGCCTCGGCAAGCAGCACATTCAGCTGTCCGGGCATACGGCCAGCGACGGGGTGGATAGCAAACTTGAAGTCGACGCCGTTGTCGGTGAGCGTCTTTGCCATCTCGGCAATGGCGTACTGGGCCTTGGCCACAGCCAGACCATAGCCAGGAACCACAATCACCTGCAGCCACAGACAAAAAAGTAGAAGAGGATGTTAGTCGGCTGTGCAGTGTTCCAGAAAGGTGTTGCCTAGAAATTGAATCATCAAGGTTTAGAAGAGAGACTGCAACAAGTGAAGCTAGGACGTGGCAGCAATGCTAGCAGTGGCACATCATCAACAACAGCGGATACATGTTGCACGTAGCACAGTGTGTCCAGCATGTCGGGATCCAATACAGTGACACGGCGTGTGAACCCAGAGTTCATAACGCCCCAGAGGGTGCAACTCGACGATGGGTGCTGTCCCGACGGAATTTCAAGTTGACGTCATTTTTATGGTGCGATGTGCACTGTACATGACTGCGTTATCAGACGTATCCTGAACCGGTGGTGGACAAAGACAAAGCCCCGTTTGATCCGGTACAAATTAGTTCAAAGAAAAACGTGTGCTGTGTTGACACGCCGTACAAATGTCGTAAATCACTGGTGCAAGGAGCATTGCATCATAAAAATGACGTCAACTTCGGAAATTTCGTCGGGACAGCAGGGTGCGTGGGAGTTGCACACTCTGGGGTGGGGGTTATGTACTCTTGGTGTGAACACAGATATGTTTGCCTGCTGGAGTGCCGCTACATCCAAGCTCCACTGTAGCAGGATTCCCCTCATCTAACCTGGGCCAGAACCGGGAAGAAACACCACCGCTTACCTTGCCAGCCTGTGAAAGGCTTTCGGCGACGGAGAGGACGTCTGTCTCGGTGTGCGTGCCCTCGATTCTGGCAGCCTTTCCTGTACCCTGCACACAGGAAGATGCAGAAAAGCAGGGCACACATGCACACACACACACACACACACACACACACACACACACACACACACACACACACACACACACACACACACACACACACACACACACACACACACACACACACACACACACACACACACACACACACACACACACACACACACACACACACACACACACACACACACACACACACACACAGATCATCATACATGCAAAACAGTTTGTCACTTGTTCTTCGGTGATCAGCGTGTATGCACGCACTGCACCATGTTCTTGGATAATGAACGCCTTCTTGCATCAAGTATCACATATTACAATCAGGGGCGTAGCTGGTGGTGGTGGTGGTGGTGGGTGAACGGCCGTAGTTCGTTAGCTAGCTGTACTATCATACATGTACGTATAGGATGGCAGGTGCTCTGGTCATCAGGGTCAGTATGTGCATGCTGAACCTAGATGGGTCGAACTTTGTAGGGGGGGGGGGGGGGGGGGGGGGGGCTATGCGCCTGACAATCGTATTGTACATTGGATCAGCCTGCCGAGCACTGAGTAGCACATTTTATTCAAGGTCGGATGGGATGGATTGCTCGAGGCATGCCATGCTGACGGACAGAAGTGCGCACAGCATTCGCCATACGTACCTGTGATCGGGTCTTGGTGTTGGCACCGCCGAACACAACGTTGAGGAGAGAGCGGTTCATCGCTTCACACATGATGTAGGACAGGATTCCTCCGCTGAAGCCAATCAGAGCGCCAACCATTGTCAAGAGCTTGTTGCCGAGAAGGAAGCCTGCAAGAGGGAGTGAGGGAGAGAGAGAGAGACAGAGAGACAGAGGCGGAGAGAGAGAGAGAGGGAGAGAGAGAGAGAGAGAGAGAGAGAGAGAGAGACAGAGAGAGAGAGAGAGAGAGAGAGAGAGAGAGAGAGACAGAGGAAATCATTCCTGGTCGCTGACCGGCTGAATTCTAGGTGGCTGCCGATTGCTCCATGAGGAGCAGCAATAACCTTAGCTCAAGCACAGTGCAGTAGGCTTGTCTAGTCGAAGTGAGGAGGTTCCACAGGGCAAGGTGGTAAGACCAACCAAGTGCAGTGCTGCCCAAAATCATTTCTTGAAGGACTCTCAAAAGAACCCATTCCACACAGAAATGTGTGTGGATAACATTATCTCAGAATGAAGGCTTGAACATCGTTTATATCACAACACTGAAAACCCTACATCATCACCAAGGCAGGTGGTCTCTTTGCTGCACAATTCTCATATCTCAATGAAATCTTCGGCCAGGAGCCATCATCAGGATCGAGGGGAAACTGGTGAGATGGTGAGTTTACATCACGTTTGTGAAAGCACTTCCTTCAATAGTCGGAGGCTCCACTGCAGCCTATCAATCACGTCCCCAGCACCCTCACAACCACGTACACTCGCTGATGAAACCCCAAGGGCGAAAATTCGGAGGCAAATTTAACTGCAATTACAGTGGAAAACCTTGGTTACACAGACAGAAGAACGAGCAGTTGTTGAGCAGTTGTTGAGCAGTTGTTGAGCAGTTGTTGAGCAGTTGTTTTTCGTAACTCTCTGAGTTGCACAAACTGAAATATTCATCAGACGAAAATAGAACTCCACGGACGGTGGATGAACTTCACATGGTGAAGACCTTGGTTGTGAAGGCGTTTGAGAGAGCACATGCAAATGCATACCGGTACACGTGCAGCCACACAAGATGCGTGCAGCCACACAAGATGCGTACCTTCTGCGCACAGAGCCCATCCGCTGTAGCTGTTGAGAACAGTGATGGCTACGGGCATGTCTGCACCGCCGATGGAGGCTACCAAGTGCAGGCCCATCACGCTGGACAAACCGGCGGTCATGGCCAGCGAGCTAGCGCCCAGGGTGGAGGCCGGGTCGGACATGAAGCAAACAAGACCTGCGCGCGTGACAATAGGACATACACACCGATACCGGCACATACACACACACGCGCACACACACACACACACACACACACACACACACACACACACACACACACACACAAACAAACACACGCATACACATGCATTCGCACAAAAAGGCGCAACACAGTTGAGTGCAACATACAGGCACTCCAGGTGCTACATGTGCGGGCGAGGTATTTTATTTTATTAATAGAACCCGGGCAGTGGACGTACACATGATGTCGGATTTTACGTGCTGCAACTGAACTCGGGGCAATGTGTGCATCACTGGCTTCCATCATGACTAATGTTCAACATAGACACACTAACGTGTGAGCCGACTGGCCAAAGAAACTAGTCTCGGCTTCAAGACCCCGATGCTATTCCAAAGGGAAACCCCGGGCCATTGTCCTATCAGTACCATGATAAGAGGTCTATCTTGCTACATCCCAGTGTGTGTGTGTATGTGCGTGTGTGTGTGTGTGTGTGTGTGTGTGTGTGTGTGTGTGTGTGCGTGTGCGTGTGTGGACTGACTGATGATCGGGACTGACCTGCTCCGTTCACACCCAGCATGGCCAGGTTGAGCATGGACTTGGCGGGCAGCTCCAGCGGCGCCGACTTCAGCCGTCCCTCCAGCTTGCCGAACGCGATCAGCGAGCCGGTGAAGGTGATGGCACCGATGGCCTCGCCGAAGTAGGCCATGCTGGCGTGCACGCCGCTGTGCGCCAGCGCGGCCGGGTCCATCAGGTACACAGAACCGCTGGTGAGCATGGCTGCCAGGCCCACCAGGCTGTGGAAGGCGGCCACCAGCTGGGGCAGCGACGTCACGGCGATGCGGTTGGCGATTGCCATGCCAACGGCCCCGCCGGCGCCCATCATGGCGGCCATCTGCATGTAGACGGCGGGCGAGACCTGCATGTTGACGGCGGTGCAGGCCACACCGCTGCTAACTCCCACCACGCCGATGATGTTGCCCATGCGAGCCGTGCTCTGCGAGGACAGAGCGCCAATGCTGGCGATGCAGGCCAGGCTGGGTGCCACGTAGCACAGGTCCTGCACGCCGGTCAGGCTGGAAATCGAGATACGTGGATAAGCGGGCACACGCACACACACACACACACGCACGCACACACACACAGAGCATCCAATAAGAAAACCTGGCAAAACCAATCGCGATATGACCGTCAATAACAAGCAACACCATTAGCTCCATGATGATATGACATTGCATAAGCGTGTAAACCGCTACTGCATGACGAAATAGCTCCTACAAGGGATGGTGTCCGACCATTTCGTAGCATTTTTCAAAAAAAAAAAAAAAAAACTCTGACGCTATCATCGGACTGCTCATACTTCAAAGTGGTTCCAATCGGGAAGTGAAGACTCTGCAGAGTATCATCGAGCACAAATCACAACACTCACCCGGTAGCGACAGCACCGAGGTACGATCCACCGTAGACGGCGACAGGAATGATGTAGTACTTGCCGAAATCCGGGGGGTCGCCCTCACGCCGGAACATGTCCAGCATACGCCTGGTGACCAGGAAACCTCCGACGATGTTTACTGATGACAGGAGGACGGCACCGGCGGCGAGCGCATGTGCCGACGTGTGCGGGGTAATGCCACCGCCCATCAGCACCATGCCGCCGACGGCCGTCAGGCCAGAGATGGCGTTGGTGACGCTCATGAGCGGCGAGTGCAGCGCCGGCGTGACGCCCCACACCACGTGATAGCCGGCGATGCCCGACAGCGCAAACATGGTGAACAGGTTGGAGAATTCGGCGCCTGGCTGCGCGGCGCCGAGCGCCACCATCGTGCCGAGGCCGACGGTGAGCGAGGTGCTGGTGGAGCGCGCCGTCTTCTCCGCCTTGTTGTAGGCGACCAGAGCCTTCTCCTCCTTCGTCAGCTCCTTCTTCTCCTCTTTCTTAGCGCCGGTGGTGGCGCCGGAGGATGCAGCTGACAGCGGCGGTGGTGGGTAGGTCAGCTCCTTGTTGTGAGAGACGATGGACTGGCGCACGACCTCGTCCTCGAAGTCGATGTGCAGGCGCTCCTTCGGCCCGATGGAGTTGAAGAACTTGGACAGGTTGTTGGAGTAGAGCGTGGAGGCGAGCGAGGGCATGCGCGACACCAGGTCGGTGCTGCCCATGATGGTGACGTCCTTGTGGCGGATCGTCTCGCCCTTCACCGTGTACTCGCAGTTGCCGCCCTGCTCGGCCGCCAGGTCCACGACGACCGAGCCGGACTTCATCGAGTCCACCATCGGCTTGGTGATCAGCTTGGGCGCCGGCTTGCCGGGGATGAGTGCGGTAGTGACCACGATGTCGACCTCCTCGCACTGCTTGGCGAACAGCTTCATCTCGGCCTCGATGAACTCCTTGGACATGACCTTGGCGTAGCCACCACCACCGTCTCCGGACTCCTTGACCGTCACCTCCAGGAACTCGGCTCCGAGAGATTGCACCTGTGCAGAACGCAAGCCATTGCAGGACCAAAGAGAAGAACAGAACATGACAAAAATGCTGTTTATCACTTTCAGCAGCTGCATCGGCACTAGCAGCAAAAGTAGCAGCAGCAACAGCAGCTGGAGCCAAGCACTGTACATTACCTGTTCCTTGACAGCAGCGCGGGTATCAAAGACACGGACAATGGCGCCCATGTTACGCGCGGTCTGCGTGGCAGCCAGACCAGCAACTCCGCCACCAATGACAAGAACCTAACAAGAAGAAAAAAGAACAGATTCACATTTAGATGAGTATATCACAGGTAAACATGAAGGAAGCGTACTGTCCATGTGCATCTATCGCACTATGGAAACGAACCAACGATATTTTATTTTCAACAGTCGCAGATTCAGACCAAACACCAGTGTTTCAGTGTCGGTCACTGGGTGTATGCATTCACACAGACAGACAGAGAGGGACAGAGACGGAGAGAGAGAGAGAGAGAGAGAGAGGAGAGAGAGAGAGAGAGAGAGAGAGAGAGAGAGAGGATACCACACGCACACACAGACGCGCACACACACCTCAGACCTCAGACATGCGCATCGCGGAAGCGATGATAGCGAACAGCTATGTTAGACATAGCAACTTGTGCTGGGATTACACCATTCAACAGCTTGCAAGGCTGATGAATTGACCGCCACTATTTTCTAGCCTGGTATCCACCACACACACACACACACACACACACACACACACACACACGCGCACACACACACACACAGAAACACACACACACACACACAGAAACACACTTACCTTGGCTGGGGGTACACGACCAGCAGCTGTCATCTGACCGGCAAAGAATCGTCCAAAATGATTGGCTGCCTCGATGATCGCCCGATATCCAGCAACATTAGCCATGCTGCTAAGGACATCGAATGACTGCAACAATTCAAAACAACACAGCAAAAGTCAAGCATGACGTATCGCTCTTGAAAGAAGGGTTCTACTATCACTCACTTATCACACCTACAAGCTCGTCGCAAGCTATCGGGTGATTACCCAAAACTGCAGGCTTTTCCTAATTATTTGATTACCCCAAAACTGAAGGCTTTTCCTGATATTTTCTATAGATCCCGCTTCGTGCCACGCGCTGACTTGCTGATGACTGGAGCACAGCCCCCTCCCCATACCACACACAAACACACATGCGTGCAGAGTGCTGCGTACCTGAGCACGGGAGATACGCGGCACGGACTCCATGCTGAACGCGGACACGCCCTGCGCGCGCAGAGCCTCCAGCAGGTCCTTGTTAGCGGCCGGCTGCAGCATACCGGCATACAAGGCTCCGGACGACAGCTGCTTCACTTCATCAATGCTCGGCGGACGAACCTAGGGGAAAGAGAAGGAGAACAGGTACATAGCATGGAATTGAGCCAATGAGATTACCCAGTAAACATGCAGAGATTGCACTTGTCAGTCTAAGGATAAACCCAGACCGGCCACCTCTCCACACAGTTCAGTCTATTTTCAAATGGCAGAGTTTGTTGCTACTCCCGAGTTAACCCTTTGGAGTCCGTAACTTTTTTCCTTCCGCAGAATTTGGGGCAGTCACGAAAATGCGCACTCGATTTCCAACATAACTTTGGTTCTCCTTCACCGATTTTGAAGATCTTGGGCTTGTTGGAAAGCTCTTGATGAGAGACATACAGTGAGCCCAAACTCGCAAAGAGCACTATTCATTGTCCGCCACAATGCGCCCCAAACGCGAGTCCAACACCAGATCAGAGACGAAATCGGTCTCCTGTAGCCATTTCACTGAATCTAGCTCGGAACTGTTCAAATGTTTTCGAGTAGAAGCTTACCTTGCCGTGACGTCGCGCCGCGCCGGTCCTGGCACATGCCGCCTGTCATGAAGCTGGGAAAATCCCTTTTTTTCACGCACTGCTGACTCGCAGCACGCAGCGCAGAAAACTCGAAATGTTTGATCGCTCGCCGCTCACTCAAACTTCATCAGAGAGTCTTCGGACCTGTTCCAGGCGATAGCTGAGAGTTTTCTCTACCATCTAGACCCTTCGATTGTTGAATTTGGTCAAGATTTGGCCGAGAACCGAAAGTTTGACTGCGCCCACATGCATACAAAATGTCCATGGTTCGAAATCGAACCATGGACTCCAAAGGGTTAACTGATAAACCCAGGCTTGATAAATCTACCATTACCCCGATGATGGGCCAGGCCAGAAAATTTGGTGTATGTAAATTTTAATTTTAATCGCAATGAAGCGACCGTTTTCGGAGTTGAGAAGTGAAGTTTCCTAAACTGATAAATCAAGGGTTAACGAACCTAGGAGGGCCTACTAAGCCTTACGGACGTCGGGGAATCATACTTTAGACCAAACATACACTTTCACAGTGCATACCCAGGCACTAACAAAAATTAATCATCTCCCGCGTTACTTCACTGAAACATGATAAAAGGAGCCGTCCATATTTCAAGGACGATCTTAGCAGTCGTGTCGAACTTAATCGAAGTCTCCAGCAAGAGAGACTTCGCCGTGACATGCATTGGCGCCAGAGACAACGCAGCGTTTAACACTCGGATCGGAAAAGATGGTATTTTTCGCTGCGATACAAACGCAGCACACGCCGGCTATGTCGACTTTTGTCGAAGAAGCAGCCAAGAATACACACCACAAGCAGCAGCAACTGCTACGCGTCGCCACTTCATCAGCACCGACTCCGCCACCACACAGCTGGCTATAACAACTGCTTCAGTAGCAAAGAGCTAGGCTGAGCAACCAGCAACTAGCAAGCATTGCTCCATGCAGCCAGGAATTCTTCCTGGTACTAGTGCTATTACTGAAGTACATGTAGATGCTACTACAGCGCAAAGCAACTAGCAAGCATTACACACCTTCATGACAACCTTCTGCTTCAGCGCCTCCTTTGCGTCCACAATGCTTGCACCGGCCGAGACATAATCAGCGTCGTAGAAGCCAGCGGCAACACCTGCATTCTTCTCAACAAACACTTTGAAGCCCTGCTTGCTGTAAGCCTAACACACCAACAGACGGAGAACAGGGAAAGACGAGGGAAAGTCACGTCACACAGAAACTGGCAAATACAAGGACTTTGCTCCCAGAAAAGCACTAAGGTCTAAGGGGAAAGGGCATCTGACCATAGCAAATTACTTGATGCAAGAAACAAGAGCTAAAGTGCATTTCAAAACCACAGAAACCCATAATAGGAAAGAGCCTGAACAAATTTTTCAAAAAGCTCAAAACCAAATTCGGATTATTTGAAAAAAGTTTAGAGGTCAATGCTTTTGAAATGAACCGTAATTTCAAGTGTCCACTCTTCGGCCCACCTGTAGGGACACGTGTGCAATTCACCAAGTTTTTGGCATGCATATCATCAACGCGACACACTGAACCCTGGCCGAGACTGCACCCCTTGGGGACACCATGCCCTTATACGGAGCCGGGATAGTCACAGGAACCTTGGTTTGGGACCTGTTGAACTCCATGAGCCTCCAAAGAGTGGCGAGGCATCCAAAAGGCGAAGGTTGGACTTTTCGGTTAAGCTGTTGAATGTCACCAGCAGAGCTTGAACCAGAAAACCTTCGCTTGAGGAGCTAGTCTAGATAGAGCAGTGAATACTGAATGCGTACCGGTACCTACCTGAACACTGGCGGGAGTGACGGCAACACGTGTCTCCGGACTGGCCTCCTTGGGCACGCCGAGCGTCAGCTCGTTGTAGGCAACGCCGAGCGCCTCCTCGGCCTTGGCCGCGTCCGTGGCGGCGCAGCGCGACGTGAATCGCGGCGCCACGGTGTTGCGCAACACCGACGATGCCGGTCGCAGGCCGGTGGAGAACGCACGGCGCGCACTGGAAGCGACCGGCGACGATTGCCATGCACTGCGCCTCAGCGCGCCGCTGTTGCGCAGTGCGTGGCCGGCACGCATCAGACTGGCCATGGTGTGGTGATCTCTACTGCTGCTGTGCGCGATAGATACGGCATACACATACCCAGACATGCACACGTGCACAGACACGTACATGCACAGACACACACATGCACACACACGTGGACATACACAGACAAGCACATGCACAGACACGCACATGGACACGACATGTACATAGTTACGTATACACGCGTACTCATAAGCACGGGCACCAGCACGCAGAGAAAGACGGGAGCACAGAGGGTCAATGATGTGCTGCTCCTTGCATATCGTGAGCAATGCATATTGCCCCATCGCCATTGGGCGGACGCCCAGCGCTACCAAACACAGCACAATGTAAGTGTTGCTGGCTGTCATGTAGTTAGCGAAAATGTTACTGGATCTCACTCAATACCAGAACGTCATGAAAGTGAGCAGCGTGTACTGCTTGGGGTTCGACCACCCAGAAACCACACCAGGCATATTAATGATGTTCACTACATAGTACATTGTAGTTCATACTCAGCTGTAGTAGAATGAATTTATGTGTGTCACGAAAAGGAAATCTTGTGTGGACTAACACTAACAGTACAATACAACAGTACAACAGTACACCCCCACTGTACATGAACAGTGGGGTTTCCGGAAAAAGCACATAGCATGGATCAGGATATCAGGATCTACTGTACTGATAGCACAAGTAGTCGTCAAGTATGAACGAAATGTGGGAGATTCATTCGATTTGTGTGAACTTTCCAAACCCACGCACTCAACTGCACTTCGCGCTCATGTACAAACACAAAGAGGCATGACAAAGCAATTTCAGGTACAAAAAGTAAAAATGAAAAGCGTTTTTAGGCAACTGGAGTGGCCGGCTAGCTGGCTACCGATAATACTTCCCATGAGGCATCAAACCCATTTCGTCCCTTCAAAGGCGCGAGGGAAAGTGGAAGACCAGTAGACCACATGAGCCCATGTGGTCAAGAAGTTCTTGCCGGCTTTCGCCGCATGCACAGAGACGCTACGGTAATACAAATACGCGTGGATTGAAAATTGAAAGAAGCCGTCTCCGAACAGCTGTATGGAATCATTCTATGGTAAGGTCACCGACTTTGGACAAGACAACGCAAGGGAGAAACGAACGAGTGTGGCGCAAACACACAGTAGCTGCTCCCGCAACTCTCCGAACAGCTAAAAACAACTGACTGCACATACACACGCACTTACCCAATCGAATCAACGCAGCTAGCTGCCTTTCTGCCTGCTTACTGATGCAAGTGCCAAGAGCCAAAGGCCTTCAGAAGATCAGAGAAAACTGCAGAGCTGACTATCCAGCTAGCTGCACAGAGTAATGAAGAGTGCACTCGAGCGCGATAAGCGAAACTTTTTGTTGCAACGCCTTGTTCTTGGCGAAGAAAAAAGGAACGGCAGTTTCGTTGCGAGGGTGGACAAAAAAAAGGAGTGGGAAGGCGAATGCAAGGAGTGGATGACCGACCGTACACCGTAGATCGGATGCGTACAGTACGGTTGCGCTAGTGCACAGTCAGTGCAGTACAGTCAGTGTCGTACTACAGACTGCACAGAGTGCAGCTAGCTCGCTCGCGCTCGAGCTTGCCACGCGCTGCACCGTGCACGCTACTCGCTAGCCGCTAGCAGGCGCTAGGCGCTAGGCAGGTACGTAGGTAGGTGCAGTGCGCGAGCGCGCCCGTGCACGATCGACGAGTACGAGTCGATATGTACATGTAATGTGTGTGTATATGTACGCGCCCGCCAGATTTTTTCAAGCGAGACCACGTGTTTCTTGCATGGCTGGCTTCTTCGAAAACTCTTGATCACGTGATCCTACACGTGTACGTACGCTAGCTGTAGCCATGGTAGCTGTGGACGTGAGCCTGTGGCAAAATATCGCATTATCGGGCTTTTTCAGGGTGAGAATATGTGGTGCGCGCGCGGCGGCGGCTGCAGCCACAAAAATCCGATCCGATGCATGATGCGCGTGCGTTCGAACGTTCACGTACGTCATGCTGGCTCTCTGAACAAAATAATTCTAAAAAGAATCTGAAACAGACTTCAAAGTTTTCTTTTGCTCACCAACAGTTTCTTGACGCTACTGGAATTTACTCTTCCGTGACGAGCTCTTGGCCAGTCATGTCGCTGGGTGCCATTGTTGTGGCCCTGATAGCTATCGCTGCCTTCTCGGCTCAACTTGCTCTTCACAAAATCCAGGAAGGTATGTGGGCTCGGATTTTTCCACAATTTTTGCAGCGAACAATGTACACACCCACCCTGCTTGGATGTGGATGATTTTGCTTTAGGGGCCGTCCGGGGTTACCAATAGTTGTTGCAAAACGAAAAGGTTTAGTATTTTCAGTACATGTACCCACCCACCCACCTACCTTTTCTGCAGGTAAAACGAATTCGAATAAAATATTGATGTCATATTATTTTCGACAACCACATGTAACTGGGCATTCTCCATCTGCATTCAATAATTATTTTCAAAACGAAACTCCTTCAAACCCACCCACCCCCAAACGAAAACTAGTCTTCAAACGGGTGCCGGGAAACCCTATACATGTTAGCTATCGGGCGGGCCCCCGTCACTTGGGAAGTTTCGCTCTACATAGATGCGTATGAAAATATGTACGTGTATGTCGTACGCGCCGGGGAGCGAGGGCAACTTTCATACTTACATCTCCCTACGGATTTCCTTAGGAACGCGCTTTCCTATGATTGGTCCTCCGTAGGACTTTTTTGAAATATTTTTTGCATTTTCCGGATTTATCCATGCCAACGTTCAAGCCGCGTGAAACACAAGGTCCACTACACGTTGAAAACAAAAATTAAGAATGTGGTTTAGGCGCGTGGTGTATGCGGCAGGCGCATGCAGCCGACGCGACTCCAATGCAACAAGGCATGTTTTGCAGTTCACGCCGCAATCCTCACGTAGAAAGCTGTCATTGCTGCCACTAGGGCGTCAAGTATAAGTCAACACATGGATGCCTTCCTTGTCCAGTTTGCGCAATGCTTCCTGCTACTTTTGTTGCCTATCTGGCTGCTGCATTGTATAGCGAAGTGCCGTGAAACGATTGTGTGGATGGCATTGCCCCAGGAGCCTGTGATAACAATGTAGCGCCATTTCAGAATGCCCGTGTGATTCTGCAGCGTCCTTCACACCTTGGCCTGCGATATTCACGCTCTGTTGCCAGTCAAGACCATCTTATACTGTATATACTCTGATTTTATCTCGCCCTGGACTTCATTGTGCGGTGCGGGCCTCCAAGGAGGTTCTATTGTTGACTTTCAAACTTGCAGCAATGATTTATTTGTACTGGGAGTGATTGCAACTGAGGGGACATCCCCTCTTGGTGCTGTATGCTGCATGCTAAGGGTCTCCTATCTTAGCTTGTATGTTTCCACGAAGGGGTTCCGGCTGTCTGCGGAGTACGCTGAGGCAGAAAAGTTGTGTTGCATGAATCAGCTGCTGCCTTGATCCACGTGGCTGCCATTACATCAACTGGTAGCAACACATTTGGGATGTCAGGATGCAGGGATGGCATGAAATTCATGTTTCCAGAATAGCTTGACTAGTATTCACTGTTTACTGTATAAGCAGACAATTTCGTCGGTCAATAATTTCGTCCAACTCCAAAGAAAGGGAGTTCGTCCGGTTGTCAATTTCGTCCATGGATCATAAGAGTGTATTGAAAAGCTGGACAAATTAACATTAGTCCAGCATTTAATTTAGTCCAACAGCTCGTTGGACGAAAAAGACGAAATTAAATTCCAGACGAATATTTCTGCTTGTACAGTATGGGATGTGTGCATACTCGGAGCATTATGTTTTTATTTCTACAGTGACGTGTCAATTTATTTGTTTCTTTTTGTTTGACTGCCTGCCTTCTCCAGGACATGTTGCTGTGTACTATCGGGTAAGGGACTGTGTTGCGAGCTCAGTTTGGACTTGATATTCCGGCGTGTGTGTGTGTGTGTGTGTGTGTGTGTGTGTGTGTGTGGGTGTGTGGGTGTGTGGGTGTGTGTATGTGTGTGTGTGTGGGGGTGTGTGTATGTGTGTGTGCCACCTAGTTCAGTCGGTGGGGGTACTAGTGCCAGGGTTGTGCTTGGGGGCTGTTGCCATTGGGCTCGGCCACTCACAAAGTTGTATTGTTGTCTGTGTTGGCCCAGAGGTCATGCTTTCTACGTATGCAATGATCGGCCGGTTGTCCTTCGTCTTGGTGACCGTTGAGCTGTCCGGAAACGCGATTTGATCTGTGTGTGGCTGCTGAGCTGCTACTAGCTTGGCTGTTGTTCCAGCTTCGGCTACTGGGGCGGAGGTGCTGCTGCTGGCGCTGCTCCTGCTGCTGCTACTGTTGCTGCTGCTGCTGCTACTGCTGCTGCTACTGCTGCTGCTGCTGCTACTGTTGCTGCTGCTACTGCTGCTGCTGCTCCTTCTTCTATTGCTGCTATTGCTGCTGCTACTGTTGCTGAATGAAGACAGCAATAAACTAACTACACTGGTGTTTGTGTTCCGTGCTGTTTGTTTGTACAGGGAGGCGCTTTACTGAAGCACACCAATGGTCCTGGCTTCCATTTCATGGTCCCGTTCCTCACAACCTATCGCTTTGTACAGGTGCGTGCCTATGCCTCGTATTTTTGCCTCGCTGTCAGATCTCAACCACATATGCACGTTGGAGTTCTCGTCACGATTGCCTAGTAGAGTGCTAGCTCCCCCGGCCCAGATTCCCCTGGTCCGGATAACATAGTCCTGACACGTTTGCTAACCTACCGTAATGTCGCCTGTTGTGATGCCGGGCTTATTCCAGTAGAAGCCAATGTCAGTGCTGGGCGTCTATTCGAACGCGGTATTTCTATGTAGGGTAAAACCTGTGACTAACGACCACCCCTTGGGGCCAGAGAAAGCGGTCTTTAGTAGCAGGTGGTCCTTAGTTAGAGGTTTGCACCGCACAGCCATATGAACGTGAGACCTACGTGCCTGGGGAAGTGGTCTGTAGTACCAGGCTGGTCGCTAGTCACAGTGGTCTTTAGTTACAGATCTTACCGTATGTCAACACTATAATCAGGCTTGTGTTCTACCTGTGTATCTTGAACATCAGGCTTGTAATCGAAACAGGCTTCTATACAAGACCGGCTATAATACAAGACACTACCACGTTGTAGTGACTGCGGTAGTTATGCCCCAGCCGCATGCTATTCTATGCTGCACACTTCCACCCGGCCGCATGTTAGTACCTTCTTCCCTGCTTGTGATGGGACTGCCGATGTCTCACTGACCTTGTTACTTGTTTTGTCTTTCCCCTCGGGCATGTCCTAGACCACACTACAAACCGACGAAGTCACCAATGTCCCGTGCGGTACAAGGTGAGTGCCTGTTGGCGGGCTTGCGCCTGTCCCTGTTTGCCTGTTTTGTTTGCCCCTCTCTCTATCTGTGTGTGTGTGTACCATGTCTGTTCGGTTTGTCTGTGTCTATGTGTTTGCAATGTTGTTGTCGTCGTCGTTGTTGTTGTTGTTGTTGTTGTTGTTGTTGTTGTTGTAGTCTTTCATTTTACTTCGCATTTAGGCACAGGCAGTGCTGCCTTCTCACCAGAGTGTGAAGTTTCCAATTCCTGCGGGACATGAAAAAAAGAGCCGGTGGTCCAATCGTAGTCAGTGCAACGCTGCAAGTTTAGTAACAGAGAAAATAATTGATTTTTGTACTAATTTCACTGAACCCAAACTCTCCTGTGCAGTTTGCTTCTTGTTGTTTTGTGGGTCAAAAACCTTGCCCGGTGATGTCTAAAGTACAAGTAAGACAACAATGGCAACAATGATCCTGCCTGCAGCAACAACCATAAAAGCAACAGCCACTACAACACCAACAACGACAATGACGGCAGTGGCAGCAGCAGTACTGCCAGTAGTATCACTGGCAACTGCTCAATGACATCTTCTTGTGTTTGTTTTCTCTTTCTGTTTTTTTTTTTTATAATCTTTTTCTAGTGGTGGTGTGATGATCTACTTTGACCGTGTGGAGGTTGTCAACATGCTGGATGGCAGGCACGGTAGGTTATTGGATAAGGATTGTGTGCCACTGTGTCTATGGAATCTGTTGAGTGCTTTCAGGCGGGGGGGGGGGTTCAATGATTCAGCAGCCCTCTCTTCCAAGGTCAGGCTATACCCAGCCTTGTCCGACCTGAAATTAACCAGCCAACCTGATTGTGGGCATGCAACAGATTGTGCAAGCATGTGCGCGTGTGCACACGCACAAACACACGGATGCACACACACACACACACACACACACACACACACACACACACACACACACACACACACACACACACTTGTACTTGTACTTGTTGCTCACTGCCAAAACTGGTCACGTGAGTCCCCCCGGGAGAGGGGAGAGAGACTCAAAAGGAATCTTGGAAAGATGACTCAACTGGTTATTGAACCGCCCAACGGCCGACACCCCCTGAAATCCCCAAAACTCTGGGTGGACTTGAAAATGATCCCACTTATGGGCTCACCACACCTCAGTAAGTGGGTGAGGACAAGGTGCAGAAAAAGGATTGACGGCATCACACACACACACACACACACACACACACACACACACACACACACACACACACACACACACACACACACACACACACACACACACACACACACACACACACACACACACACACACACACACACACACACACACACACACACACACACACACACACACACACACACACACACACACACACACACACACACACACACACACACACACACACACACACACACACACACACACACACACACACACACACACACACACACACACACACACACACACACACACACACACACACACACACACACACACACACACACACACACACACACACACACACACACACACACACACACACACACACACACACACACACACACACACACACACACACACACACACACACACACACACACACACACACACACACACACACACACACACACACACACACACACACACACACAACCAGACATCAGATATACTGATATCTGTACTCACAGCTGCAGCAGGGTATTACCGGTGGACATGTGTGTGTGAATGATTCATGTATGTGTGTGTGGGGGGGGGGGGGGGGGGGAGGGGGGTTTGTGTGTGTGTGTGTGTGCGTTCGTGTGTCATTATAGAGTAATTTTGTCTGTCCTCTCCGCGTGCGTGTCTGTCTGTCTGTGGCTATGTCTGTGTATGTCGGACGGGTGTACATGGATTTGTGTTTAGTCTATGACATAGTTCACAACTACACCGCAGATTATGATCGCGTCCTCATCTTCAACAAGGTCCACCACGAACTGAACCAGGTACGACCGAGAGTGCTTGTGTTGCTGCTTTCTACGTATACGTGCCTGTGTGCACGCGTTTGTGTATGCCAATAAGCATATACGGTGCGGGTGCGCACGCACGCGTGTGCGCACGCGCGCGTGTTTGTGTGTGTGTGCACGCAAGCATCCATGTGTTTAGTTTGTGTAGACCCTGGTAGTTTGATGTCATTGCTGTGTGTCCATGTGGCTTAAGCTCTTCCACTGGCTATCAATTTTATTTCTAATGAGAATGCCATCTTTATAATTGACGGACTCTCTCTCTCTCTCCCTCTCCCTATCCCTCTGCTTCTCTCGTTCATTCTTTCTTTTCAATCTGTGGGCAGTTTTGCAGTGCACACACACTCCAAGAGGTCTACATCGAGATGTTTGGTAAGTGTTCTGGCCGTTGGAGTACATGACATTGTACTACTTATCGTTTGTTCTACATGCGGTACTGTACTGTAAAATATTTAAATAACCGACGAGGAGACAACAGTCGTAAAATAGCAATGAAAAATATCAATTGTGCACTCATAACCATGTATAAACAATTAAAATGAAACAATTCCAGAACGTTTTCGTGTGACTATCATCAGTGGAACATCGTCACATAATAAGAATCACTAAAACAACCAGTTATATAGCTAGAATATGAAAAGAAGCGTGAGAATGCAGCACAGCTAGCGGTTATGCATAACGCGTGTAGTGTGAACCTTTGCAGTGTATCTGAGAATGGTAGCAGTAGATGAATGTGGCAGCTGTGAGTGCGTGTGGACAACACTGGTGAGTGCGTATTATTTAAAAAGTGTGAGTGCTACAACATTTTCTTTTTGCTTGCATAGAACAGGGTCACGTGTGCGAATATATACAGCTTCCAACACCTGCAACTGCTTAAAGAAACATGCGCAACAAATAACACTAAACCAGGAATCATCAAACAACTTACGACAATCCGGACTGGACACCAAATGCTTGTAGATGGCAGACTTGCTCTTGTCGATGTCGAACTCCTCCTCGTCAGTATCACTCTCATCATCCACTTCCTGTTCCTGCTCACCCTTGCTTTCCTCCTGATCATCCTGTTCATCCCCATCATCATCCTCCATCTCCATCTCCTCATGCCATCGCTTCTTTCTCCTTGACGCGTTCACTGCTGCGCCCGTACTTTCACCTGCCGCTACTGGTTCCGCCTTCTCGATTTTTCTCAGTCGTGTCTCCGCTAGTCTCTGGCTTCTCCTCAGATTCGTTTTTCCTCCATTTTCGTTTCGTTCTCCTGGTAATTTTTCCGTTACCGCCGTCGGGTTTGTTGACGAACGATCGTCCGGCGGTCTCCCGCGTTATGCATAACCGCTAGCTGTGCTGCATTCTCACGCTTCTTTTCATATTCTAGCTATATAACTGGTTGTTTTAGTGATTCTTATTATGTGACGATGTTCCACTGATGATAGTCACACGAAAACGTTCTGGAATTGTTTCATTTTAATTGTTTATACATGGTTATGAGTGCACAATTGATATTTTTCATTGCTATTTTGTACTGTAAAAGCCATACATATATAACGAAGTCTTAAATCTAACGAGTTAACGAGGGGAAATCTGTCGCTAACTCACACACACACACACACAAACCAAATCGTTATACAGAAATCGATACATATACTGTCCTATTGAGCGTTGAGAATATGAGTGAGAATCGTTACCTTTGGCACACGTGAACTAGTCAATTTTGGGAAATCGTTATACATGCGCCTCGTTAGAATAATGGCTTTTACAGTACACCAGAAAACACGGGCATGTATACTATGGAGATGGCATTGCAGGCTAGTACTTCTCATCGTGTGCTATACTACACCAGAAGACCTGGAGTCCATTTCAAAAATATAGACGCATGGTATTTTTGAAATACTTCAAATTTGGCTGGAGCTTCTTGAGAATTTTTTTCGGAAAATTAACCGATCAGATAACGAACGCCCAATTTCGAAAACTTTGTGCACAAAGTGATCACAGATTTGGTGTGGCATAGATGCTGGCCTAACGATTTTTGAAATTCCGCGTCTATATTTTTGAAACGTGCAGTATACTCTATGGAGATTACATGGCATGATAGTGGCTGGAGTGACAATTCTGAGCCCTGTGCTGACCCGTGGTGTATATAACAGTACACTCAGTCATGATCAAGTTCCCGGGCCTGCTTACTTTAGTCAAACGCAACCCACACCTAGACCAGCGATTGCATGTGCATGTGTGTGTTTAAGTCCGACCTACTCCGCGTGCAACTCGAACAGTCTACCCGGAAACAAGACCGGCCAGGTGACGGGAACCGGAAATCTGAGATGGAAGGGACCATCTGTAGTACGGAGATGTTTTTAGACATGCATTTTAGTTCCTTTTTCTACTCACCTTTATGAACACATGTGGGTGTGTGGGTGTTTGCGTGTGTTTACGTGTGTGTGTGTGTGTGTGTGTGTGCGCGCGCGCGCGTGTGTGTGCGTGCGCGTGTTGTGCGTCGATTTTCTTCGGAGTAACATTGTTGTTTCAACTCACTTATAAACGAACCGTACTTGATCCCCAGTCTGGAAATTGCAAAATTTCGCTTGAAGCGTGTCGTTATTTACTGGGCAACCACCAATCTTTTACCTTCCCCGTTGTGTGGGCAGCCACTAACCGTTTTGCCTTCCCCGGCGTTGTTCTGCTCAATAGATAAGATTGACGAGAATCTCAAATCCGCGCTGCAGAAGGACTTGGAGAGCATGGCTAAGGGTCTGATGATCCAGGCAGTGCGGGTCACCAAGCCTAAGATCCCGCAGTCCATCAAGCAAAACTTTGAACACATGTAAGTGATTGTAATCAGTATGTTTGATTTGACCAGACCAGGCTACTTGACGCTTACAGACAGCAGCACGAACAGTTCACCAGCCACACTCCACGATAGCAAGAAGTGTGAGTGCGCAGCAGCATAGCTTGTGGGTATGCAGTGGATTGATGTGTGAGTGCGCATCAGCATGGTTTGTGGGTATGCAATGGATTGATGTCTGAGCGTGCAGCAGCATAGCTTGTGGGTATGCAGTGGATTGATGTCTGAGCGTGCAGCAGCATAGCTTGTGGGTATGCAGTGGACTTATGTGTGAGTGTGCAGCAGCGTAGCGTGTGGGTGCGCAGTGGACTTATGTGTGAGTGTGCAGCAGCAGCAGCAACACAGCTTGTGAGTATGCTGTGGTGACCGGCAGCAGCAGCAGCAACACAGCTTGTGTATAAGTAGTGAACTACACCTGTGTGTGTGTGTGTGTGTGTGTGTGTGTGTGTGTGTGTGTGTGTGTGTGTGTGTGTGTGCGTGTGTGTGTGTGTGTGTGTGTGTGACTGAGCAGCAGCATAGCATACGAGCATGCATTGCTGCCTAATTGTACGAGAACTCGCCGCTACTGTGTATGACACCAGACCTGACCAGGAACATTTCTGATTTCACGAGAAACCCGTAGGATTCTACTACACCGTGGTTATAGTATTGTATGCATGTGTGTTGTTGTAAGGTTGAATAACATTCAATCACGAATACGTGTTGTCGACCAACAGTGACATGCTTGGAAATGGCGCCTCCAGTAGAACCCAAGCCCCGCCAGTAGAAAACCCCTTCCCTCCAGCAGAACCCACGCCCCGCCAGTAGGAACCCCCTTCCCTCCAGTAGAACCCACATCCCGCCAGTAGGAAACCCTTCCCTCCAGTCGAACCCACACCCCGCCAGTAGGAAACCCCTTCCCTCCAGTAGAACCCACGCCCCGCCAGTAGGAAACCCCTTCCCTCCAGTAGAACCCACGCCCCGCCAGTAGGAAACCCCTTCCCTCCAGTAGAACCCACATCCCGCCAGTAGGAAACCCTTCCCTCCAGTCGAACCCACACCCCGCCAGTAGGAAACCCCTTCCCTCCAGTAGAACCCACGCCCCGCCAGTAGGAAACCCCTTCCCTCCAGTAGAACCCACGCCCCGCCAGTAGGAAACCCCTTCCCTCCAGTAGAACCCACATCCCGCCAGTAGGAAACCCCTTCCCTCCAGTAGAACCCACACCCCGCCAGTAGGAAACCCCTTCCCTCCAGTAGAACCCACACCCCGCCAGTAGGAAACCCCTTCCCTCCAGTAGAACCCACGCCCCGCCAGTAGGAAACCCCTTCCCTCCAGTAGAACCCACATCCCGCCAGTAGGAAACCCTTCCCTCCAGTCGAACCCACACCCCGCCAGTAGGAAACCCCTTCCCTCCAGTAGAACCCACACCCCGCCAGTAGGAAACCCTTCCCTCCAGTCGAACCCACATCCCGCCAGTAGGAAACCCCTTCCCTCCAGTCGAACCCACATCCCGCCAGTAGGAAACCCCTTCCCTCCAGTAGAACCCACACCCCGCCAGTAGGAAACCCCTTCCCTCCAGTAGAACCCACGCCCCGCCAGTAGGAAACCCCTTCCCTCCAGTAGAACCCACACCCCGCCAGTAGGAAACCCCTTCCCTCCAGTAGAACCCACACCCCGCCAGTAGGAAACCCCTTCCCCCCAGTAGAACCCACACCCCGCCAGTAGGAAACCCCTTCCCTCCAGTAGAACCCACACCCCGCCAGTAGGAAACCCTTCCCTCCAGTCGAACCCACACCCCGCCAGTAGGAAACCCCTTCCCTCCAGTAGAACCCACGCCCCGCCAGTAGGAAACCCCTTCCCTCCAGTAGAACCCACACCCCGCCAGTAGGAAACCCCTCCCCTCCAGTAGAACCCACACCCCGCCAGTAGGAAACCCCTTCCCTCCAGTAGAACCCACGCCCCGCCAGTAGGAAACCCCTTCCCTCCACTAGAACCCACACCCCGCCAGTAGGAAACCCCTTCCCTCCAGTAGGACTCGCTCCAGTCGGGATGCTTTTGTAGGCGAGCTTGGCGTCGAAACTCATTGTGTGTTGTCTGCCGCCGTTGCCCTGTGCAGGGAGGGAGAAAAGACCCGCTTGCTGGTGGCCACGCAGAAGCAGAGGGTGGTGGAGAAGGAGGCTGAGACTGACCGCAAACGAGCTGTCATCGGTAAGCAACTCATGCTTTAATCAAGAGTACCTAACCCCCAAAAGTGTGCGACTGCCTGCACAACCTCTATACAGTGCTGTGACTGCAGAGCTTCACATCACCTGACTTGGTTCAAGAGGTACCGTTACGCTGCCAAACAGTGCAAAGTGACCACGAGAGAGTTTAACCCAAAGCAGGGTCTATCATGCACACGGTGCAAATAATGTGTACGGGTTCGTCACTTGATGTGAACTTCTGCCATCACAGACCCCCATTGCTGGAGTTGCACACTCTTGGGGGTTCTGTACTCTTGCTTTAATCTATGACCCTGTAGCTCCTCCGAGTTTTATTTGCTTTTTTTTGTGGTCCTGGTCAGACTGCGGCAAAACGAAATAATCCTATGAAGGCTGAAGAAAATGTTGAACGGTCTCTGCTTGGATGACCGCCACACCTAGCTTAGTGGTTAGAGCATCAGTGGCCTCAGGTGAAGATCCCTGGCTCGAGTCCTGGTGGTGACAGTCAATTTTTTGCTCCGACTTTTCCCGTTTGTGTCTTTCCCTCAAACCAGTGAATTTGTTATGACTTGGGGCTCCCCGCGTGCTAGTTTGTACGTGAAGTGTGTGGGTTACGGTGAGGGCTGGGTCCCACCCGCCTGTGTGGAGTCACAGGAAGCGTGAGTTTCGAAGTCTGAAGAAAAAAATGTTTAAAAACTGTCTCTGCTGGGATGACAGCTACACCATAGCTCAGTGGTTAGAGCATCGCTAGCGTCAAGTGAAGGTCCCTGGTTCGAGTCCTGGTGGTGACAGTCAATTTTGTCTTCAGACTTTTCCCGCTTGTCTCTTTCCCTCAAACCAGTGAATTTGTTATGACTTGGGGCTCCCCGCGTGCTAGTTTGTACGTGAAGTGTGTGGGTTACAGTGAGGGCTGGGTCCCACCCGCCTGTGTGGAGTCACAGGAAGCATGAGTTTCGAAGTCTGAAGAAAAAATGTTTTAAAACTGTCTCTGCTGGGATGACAGCTACACCATAGCTCAGTGGTTAGAGCATCGCTACAGTCCATTTCAAAACTATAGACGCGTACCTAGGCAAAAACCGTTATGCCAGTATCTATACCACATAAAATCTGTGATGACTTTGTGCATAAATTTTCCAAATTGGGCGTCTGTTATCTAATCGTTTAAAAACTATATGAGAGTAATTGTGGAGCGGTCCTGAGCAATATTCCGAAAACTATTCTCAAAAAGGTCCAGCCAAATTTGAAATATTTCAAAAACCCTACGCGTCTATAGTTTTGAAATGGACTGTAGCGTCAAGTGAAGGTCCCTGGTTCGAGTCCTGGTGGTGACAGTCAATTTTGTCTTCAGACTTTTGCCGTTTGTGTCTTTCCCTCAAACCCATGAGTATTTTTATGATTTGGGGCTCCCCGCGTGCTAGTTTGTACGTGATGTCTCGCCAACTACAGATTTGTGCTCACTGAAATCCGACCCAAAGTGCAGAGCTGGCGCCCTGGACCAGTTCACATTGCATCAGTATAAGTGTACATCCAGCCGCATTCGTGCCACTTCCAGGGCGTCAAGGGCAGTTTTTATAGTTGAGCGCGCCAGCTTTGCACAAGTGGTCGGATTTCAGTGAGCGCAGCTGTAGCTAATCCCTCAAGCGACAGGCTTTTTGTTCATTTCCGCATAAATTTGATTGGAATTGTATTGCTACGTCGGTATCTTTGTGTACTGAAAATTTGGTGGGCGGTTGCTCGTACTGTAGGCAAATGGCGAAATAAAATTTTACAAAAACGGGGTCTCAGTGCTAACTTTTGAGATATAGGCGATGACAATTTCACTAAATTTTCAAATTTGTACAGGATTTGTGATGTATAGCGGATGGGTATTTCATTAAGAATCTGATTTACAATCTTCCTCATTTTTTGGTTATTGAATGTACTAAACGTGTACGTGCCAATGAGAAAATAATAAGAATGCTTCAATGCTCGATTTCGCCATATACATGCAGGTGCAGAATGCCTTTTTGATAAGTTTGCTTTGGTGCATGTACATGCACACCTACATATCCCATGTACATGTCCATTATACACCTACCCTTCTCTACTAGCCAACCCCAGCCCTGCAATACGCATAGACACACGTGCGCACACACACGCACACGACGCACGCACACACACACACACACACACAAGGCACACACTTGCTCGCACGCCCGCAGGCAATGGCTCCTATGAAGATTGGGTTACTACTTCTTTGCAAAATGCTGCATGGCAGAATCCATAATCCGGCGGTTGCTGGTGACCCGTGAGCTGCCGGTCGACTTGTCGATAAACAATAGCCGTATGCCCATTTACGGGTTTCTTTTGTAGGCATGGACGAGGTGGTTGTACGTGAGGCCAGAGCCTGCCATCTTGAGGAGCATTGTCCGGGTCAGGATGTTCTTGAGATGGGGCAGCAGTGTTGCCAGGCACTTCTGCTGCTTGGCCTGGTACTGGCGTTCCTCGGCAACGAATGCGATGCCTGTTGTCGCAACCACCATGTCCTTCTTTGAAACGGCGACATGCTCGAGGATGGCGCGAAGGCCCCGCACATCTGCCAGCGCTGAATGTGCATCTGCAAGGGAATTGGCAAAGCAGGATTGGTATAGACAAGATAGGCTGTATGAAGCTTTTCCTGGTCTTTTAGCCGTTAGCAGCGACAGCGTTTGGAATTCATCAAGATGTCCCTGGACTCTCACCTGTTGCTGTTGGTGCGGATGTGGTTTGTTTTACCAAAGTTGCCTTGTCTTTGAAGGACTTACTTCCTCCGTATACAAAAACTTCGTGACTTTTTTTGCATGGTGTTTTTGAGCAAGAACCTGCTCAACGAACGGCGCCAAAGGCTGTCATCGACAACCCACGTCCATGTCGAGGTGAGTTTGGTTGATCCCGAACAGATTCTCCACGTACGCCATGCGTGTGAGGACGTTGCCGACAGAAACTCAAGAGTCAAATGAAAAAAAACTAACACTTACTTGCTCCAAGAAACTGACTCAGTGACGAAGTGTAGCTCGTGGCTGGAACACGAAGTCACGCGGCACTCGCTGCCCTGAAACTGGCCAGGCTCGTACTTGCGGTGCGCGGCCCCATATCCATGATATCTACGCAGCGTGAGAACATCGATTTGTTTCGCTCGCACGGCAAGATGAAACATTTCAGTCGTCGTGCAACCAGCGCAGACTCAGGATCAGAATGTCGATGGCCTGGCTTTCTTCGCCTCTCTCCAGTCAGACGCCTCCTTTGTCGCCAAGGGGAATCGCAGGGACCTCCTCGAAGCCATTGTAGAATGCTTGGGAGGATTTTCCTGGCGAGAAAATGCGAAGCGTGGGGATGTGCTTGTACGACTCGTTTCACGGCATAATGGAGGTTGCGGGTTGGAACAACTGAATATAGTTGACACCGATTCGTACACAGATGAAGAGGACGTAGCCAAAGTCCAGCGTCGGATCATCACTGCAGGTGACAAGAATCTGAACGAAATGCGAGCGGAAGCAGCGACTGTTGGCGATGCGGAGTCAGCGTCGTCAGGTGACAATGACATGAGCGACGAAGACTCTGAAAAAACTCAATCTCATTCGTCTGAGTTGCTTTTTTCTTTGTATATAGCTTGTAAACAGGTTAGACAATGCCACGAGTGTTATTCCAAGTCAAACGGAACAATTTCAGAGCTGTGCGCAGCTTTCAAAAAAAAGTCACGAAGTTTTTGTATACGGAGGAAGTAGTGGCGTCGGCTCTCAGCTAGAAACCCAGCTTTCTGTCCTCCTCTGCCTTCACTTCCACTTTTTTTGCTTGTGCAGAGCAGTTGTGGCGCTCTGCTCCATGTCTCCTCGGTACAGTTCCACCACACAATCCAGGAGCTGGTCCTTGGTATAGGAGCTGGAGCTGGTCCTTTTCCGTATAGTCTTCATCTGTTCCAGATCTGCTTGTACTAAAGGGACAAGCAAGTCAAGCCTTGAATGCACTCCATCGTAAATCTGAAATTGAAGCTCAACACTTGTTGACGTACAGAAAACAAGACTTGGCTCATCTTGTTGCTTTTGAGAGGTGTTGTCTCCTTTTATGCGTATGTTGTGGAATTGTCCCCCGCTCCCCGCCACACAACTACCCTCTGACTCATCCAAGCGGATTACAGAATAACACAGTTACTTGGAGTTGAACAATATCTCTTAGAATCAATAATCAACTGGTGGGCGAGAGAACGGGGGAGAAAGACAACGAAATAATAAACAACCAACAGTTATAAACAGAGAAAGGGCGAACACATCGAAACGACCAATGAGCGACCAGTACGTACGATACATGTGACCAGAACCAAGACAACAACACCGTGGACGAATCACACCACTCCCTCGCACCCGAACCCGACTCGCACAGCGCATGCACCACATAATCCACGCATGTGCAACAACTAGTAGACAAACGCACTCACACAGGCAGAAGCAGATCCACACACTCTGACAACGCATACACCACATATACCACGTCATACGCATCACACCCATATACTGCACACCACGCATCACTCCCGTACAGACAGCAGACCATATTTGACACCGGACAGGACAAGACAGCGAGACCAGAAACAACAACGGGTGTAAATAATAAGCGTATCGAATTTCGCAACACGTAGCTTGACTGTGTTGAGAACGCGCTCTCTTATCGTTCGACTCTTGGCGCCTTCCCGCTGCACGCAATGGTGCGTCGCAAAACCACCAACTCTTCAAAACCGTCGATGACAGGTATGACGGTGGCAAAACCATCGTTGACAGGTATGCCAGTGACAGGCTCCAGGCCGGATGCTGGCAAGGCAAGCACCATACAGCCAGTACTGGAGGACGAGTCCGTAGCACTCGACCCTGAGACCGGCTACCTACCTTCCTCGCTGTTGGCGCTGCGGGCAGTCTACGACTAAGTTATCTGCACCTTTGATGGGGCGAATATCGGTGGTGAACTCGCTGATGTATGCAAGCTGCTGAAGAACACAAGGTGGACTTGTCGTAGTGTTGACCTACTTCCTCCGCGTCATCGAAATTGTCGCAGTTTGACTTTTGATATAAAACGGGGTATTTACTCACCAGCACTCGTACCACAGGTAAGGAATCCGACATAGGCGATGGTCATCAGTATAGGGTGACGGCAAAGTTCTATTTTCTGTTATTGGAAGCTGGAATTTTTGAACTAGACGCAATTTCTTCGCTGATGTCGCTGCGATGGTAATTTCGACTCGGTGAGATCAGTCAGGCGTTGCAGCCTGCACATTTCTCGTGCTTATGGCCATTCACTCAAGCCTCATCACTGTTTTACCTTAGCTGGGGTGAGAATGACTTCGTGGAACAAGTGGCAGCGCTTGGAGAAACACCGAGGGGTCAGCAAACTAAATGCCTGCAACAGCAATAAATTTGTCGCTCTGGCCGAGACACTCAGTACATGATTGTACCTGCAAGAGCCGTGTAGACTCTACATGTAGTGCTAGTGATGCACACGCAGGTGCCGTACCATCATCCCCCCCCCCCCCCCCCCCCCCCCCCGGGTATACCAGTGAATCAGGGCCGGGCAGTGATGCTGAAAAAGAGGGCACGCTGGACGTGATAGTACACTTACCTGCATGAGCTGTGACCACACAGCTAAAATAAATGGGCATGCCACGGCTAAAAAATGTTCATTTCAAGATCGAGGTGATTCCGCCGACGGTAATCAGCCGACCTCGCAACGATCGTGTATTCTTACTAGGCTTCGTTGGTGGTGAAGTAGAAATCATCCAGAACTAGCAGACGACAAGCATAGCAGCTCTTGTCCTGTGGAGAAAGTCAAAGCGTTTGAGATGAGGCGCGACCAACTTTCAACCTTCCTTGAAATATTTTGGAACGATATTTTTGCGTCCATTGACATCAGCGACGACGAGGACTTCATCTCTGCATGAAAACTCTCAGTCCAACTGTCCTGAAACGTTACTCTAGGCTTCAGACTATCATACTGTGTAATAAGTTTTGAATGGCTTAGCTTATGGAGTTGTCAGTAACAAGTGACAAGTCACTAGTCAAACTGCGACAATTTCGATGACGCGGAGGAAGTACATGGCAGTTTTGGATTTCGGAAACCCCGACACAACACACTTTCTTCAAACAGTTCTAAGTTATAAAATTCATTTTTATCTAACTAGTTTCTGCTCTGTAGAGCTTCATCAGAGATGTGAATCCTTGAAGTGACGCACAGACAGGTAGATCGCTAGCAACTCACGGCTGAATGTACTGTATCGTTTCTCAGTGGTGGACAACTGCTTGGTCACGTGCGCTGCAGGGCTGAAATGCTTGCGTGCGCGGACCTGTCGTTCGTACAGTACGCGCAATGCCACCCCTAGTCCTGCATTGGCTGGTTGTGCCTTGGCGGTATGGTGGCGCCTTCTGGCTTAGTTTAGTTTTAAGTTGACGCATTGTACAGCAGTGGACCCTCTAGCACTGCACGTAATGCTTAAAGAGGCTTGCCCGGCGGCAAAGTGTCATCCGGGACCCAGTTTGGGACATAGAGAATCTTGTGCTCCACATGTTCTTGGGAAACACGAGAAAACACTTAGGGGTCGTCGCAACAGTTTTCTTGTCGTCCCTGAAACGAATATCGTTCATTTCGTACTCGGACCCCTCCCCTCCCTCTGAAATGAACATAGCTTGCTATGCTGGACGACGAAAATCTCATGACTGCACATGTATGTATACACACACACACACCCCACCCCCACCCCCCGAATGAATGATGTTCGGTACGACAAAAAAATTGCGCCAACCCCGTAACGCTGGTCACACATCCGGGGGGGGGGGGGGGGGGTGCGGTGGGTGGTTGTGTGTTTGTGTGTTTGTTCCTTGCGTCCATCCGTTTTTCTCTTTGAGATACCCGTCCAAGATCTTCAAGACATTGAAAAGAACACATTGATCTTGAGGATTGCAAGAAAAGGAATGGATGCATCAGGGGCTGAAATCCAATGAGCTATCTCTATCTCTCTCTCTCTCTCTCTCTCTCTCTCTCTCTCTCTCTCTCTCTCTCTCTCTCTCTCTCTCTCTCTCTCTCCTTCTCTCTATCTCTCTCTCTATCTCTCTCTCTATCATATCTCTCTTTCTCTCTCCATTGCTAGAGGCGGAAAAGAATGCACAGGTTGCCAAGATTCAGTATCAACAGAAGATCATGGAGAAGGAAAGCCAGAAGAAAATTGCAGAGATTGAAGGTGAGTCCTTCCCCCTCTTGCTTTGTGTGTGTGTGTGTGTGTGTGTGCGCACATGTGTGTGTGTGTGTGTGTGTGTGTGTGTGTGTGTGTGTGTGCGCGCACATGTGTGTGTGTGTGTGTGTGTGTGCGTGTGCGCACATGTGTGTGTGTGTGTGTGTGTGTGTGTGTGTGCGTTGTGTGTGTGTGCGTTGTGTGTGTGTGTGTGTGTGTGTATGTGTTTGTGTTTCTAAGATACCTTTTGAGTCTCTCTCCCCTCTCCCAGGGAGACCCACGTCACCTGTTCTGGCAGTGAGCAAGTACAAGTGTGTGCGTATGTATGTATGTGCATGTGTATACAGTGTAACTGGGGTAAGAGACATACCCCGCTGGGGTATGGAAAAACAGTACCTAGTATCCCAGGTGCTGCTTATCCAAAGTTGACTTCTGCGGCCCGCTAAAATGATACATGGACAGTTTGTCAAAAATGCTCGTCGAAGTTATTTTATTGCACTCAGAAATGTACGTGGTCAGTGCCACCAAACCAGGCGTCCCGCCTTGCAATCAGCCCCGTCCGCATCGTCAACATACTGAAGTACGTATCAACTTGAACCTGCTGTCATGTGTGAAGGTGTGTGAAAACACCAAAACGTATTGTAGCGTGTGAGGCTGGGTGTGTTTGGACCTGCTGAAAATCCGGCATGCACGAGTTGTATATCTTATTAGAGTACCGTGAAAGTCCGTAAATAAGTACGTATTTACTTTCGAATTAAGTGACCACACCCGTACTAACTTTCGGACCTGACTTGTGTGTAGTGGAGAAGTCATTTTCATGTCGATGTACATGCTACGTGCTGCATGTGCGCACCGTACCGGTACTTATTTCGGGCAGTATGTTTATCGGGCTTGACTTGACTTCAACAGACAGAGCCAAAAGAATGAAGGGGGTATTTCTTTCGGGCAGGTACTTATTTACGGACTTTTACGGTACAGTCAGACCTCGCTTAACTGCACACATCCGTTTTCCACAAAAGTGTCCAGATAGGCGAGGGAACCGGATAGCCAAACACCGGTTTTGTTGGATGCACCACGTATGCTGTAGATTTGTAACCAGCTATTTTCTTCCGGATGGCAAGGGATCCGGATAAGCGAGGTCTGACTGTACGTCGTATCCGAACACATTTGTGTATGCGCTTATGGGAGGAAAATCCGTGCGACGAAAAAGGACCGTGCTAAACAGGCGTATGTCTTACCCGGGTACGAACTTAGCAAGTTCCACTGTATGTACGCCTGAGCAAATTCCTTCGAAGAACAAAAAATCCTTTGGTTGTAGGTGAGACGCAAGGTGCCCACGCCCCAGCGGTAACTCGAATCAGAAGTGCTGCCCAGTGACATCCGTCTATCACTAATCAGCTTCTCTCTCTCTCTCTCTCTCTCTCTCTCTCTCTCTCTCTCTCTCTCTCTGTCTTTCTCTCTCTCTCTCTCTCTCTCTCTCTCTGTCTCTGTCTCTCTCTCTCTCTCTCTCTCTCTCTCTCTCTCTCTCTCTCTCTCTCTCTCTCTCTCCTTGGTCTCTTTTTTTTTATTCAGATCAAACTCTTGTGGCACGACAGATTGCACGCGCAGACGCCGAGTTCTACATGGCCAAGAAGATTGCCGAATCCAATAAGGTACGCATGTAGCATATGTGTACATAATTATGTGTATTTGTGCCGGTTTGTCTCTCTGTATGCCTGGCTCCCTGCCTATGGCATTGATGTGTGCACGTGTGTGCACGTGTGTGTGTGTGTGTGTGTGTGTGTGTGTGTGTGTGTGTGTGTGTGTGTGTGTGTGTGTGTGCACGTGTGTGTGTGTGTGTGTGCATGCATGCGGTATTGTGTTCCTTCCCGTGATCAGGTGAAGTTGACGACGGACTACCTGGAGCTCCAGCGTATCAAGGCCATTGCGACCAACAGCAAGATCTACTACGGCACTAGTATTCCAAAGTTCTTCATGGACTCACAGAGCACTGACAAGGCAGGCATCAAGGCCAATATTGATGTCTTTTCCGAGGACATTGACTCGGTGGGCAAGTGGTCCACCGACGAAGTACCGAAAACCGAGAAGTGAGATGTGCACTGTGGTGTTGGTGTCGGTGTGTGCCTTTGCAGGGCGCAGTGCCTCGCTTGGCGCTGGGTGGAGTGCGAGCTTAGACGTGTCGGTAGGTCGCCCTGCTAGAGTACGGGTGTAGAAATAGAGGTGAGTGTATGTTAGAGTGTAATTTGGGCCACTGCTTACGGCCGCCGCGCCTGTACACACACGGCTAAAACTTTATTAGTGTTTTGTTTCAATTCTTGACTGCCAGGTCGCCGCTGCAGCCTTGCTTATTATCCTAGGGTTCTGTGACATTCGTTTTATTATGGTTTATCATTGGCATATGATGTACAGTGGAATTGGCTGGGTCCGATGCACCTCGCCAGCCTGGCCCCTCCGAATGTTCCTAGTCCTGCTTGCACACGCTGCTCTGCTGCTGGTGTCAGCGAGGTCCGCAGTGTTGTTGTATGCCCTGCGTTCTACGTGTTTTTGCTCACCATCGATCTCTCCCTTGCGAGAATATTCTGACTTTTTTTACTCCATTGTGCACATTTTAGTTGGTGATGGAATTCCTAGCGGTTCGCTTTCGATGAGCTGTTCTATTTTTCAAGTTTACCCAGCGTTTCTAGCATTTTTTTTCTTAGCAGTTTCCAGTATTCTTTTCCTACTTGTAATTGGTTCCTGACAGTGATGGTGGCGGTGAATTCTTTCGGCATCTTCCATCTTGTTTTTAGTTCTTTTTGAGACCTGTCTTATTTTGATGTTTCTTTTCCCTTTGAAAGTAGCGCGATTCATCGTTTTTCCTCTCAAGTGTGCCTGTGTGGGTGTGTGTGTGGGTTTGGAGGTGCGGACGGTGGTCGTTTGTGATTTGTTGCCAGTGGCTGCGACACATTGCAATCAAGTCTGTGTTCTGCTGCCATGCATGCTTGGTAGATATGTTCAATGCTGCCAGAGGATATCCGACCACTTTCGTCGTGCCGTGTCGAATAGTCCTCCACACAGTCCAGCATACTGTTTGCACGTCAGTACCAGATTAATGGACTCTGGGTGGTACACGTGTGACAGTGCGCCCTCTTTGCCGGAGAAATTCGACCTCATGAATCTAGTAAACTTAGTAACGCCCCACTCAGGTGTGCAGGGTGGAATGTGTGGTGCGTTCTACTTGTAGGGCCACAAAGCGCCAGGCCTTATTTTATTCATGAGTTTGAATTCCTCTGCCCATTACATGCACTGATGCAGGACTCCCACTCCCGGGTAGTAGTAAAATACCGGTATTTTACTACTACCTGGTTAGTACCTAACAATCGTTACCAAGACTGTACTAGCAAGAGGCCCTCATCAGACTACGTACATAGATAATCCAGTACAAAATCACATAAAACCTAAAAGGCAACATTTTTCCATGCCTGCATTCAGACTACACATTTTACATGCAATATACAGGCAACCTTTGACCCTACGAAATTGCGCAAGGGGCCTGGGATGTGTAAAAGCAGCGGACAGTCGTACCCGGGTACAAAGTTCGTACAACTGCCTGGTGAAAGTACGATAAATGCAGGAAAGTTGCCTTGTACAAGGGTTGGCACCCTGCCTGAAAGGATTGGGCAGCTTTTTAGGCTTCCCGCCAGATTCTTGTTGTTGTCCTGGAAACTTCTATGTAAATGTGACTTATAGGCTGTTTTGTACCTGGTCTGAAGAGGGCCTTAGGGCCGGGTTCCACTGCGGCTCCGCGGCACTTGGCTGCATGCAGCGGAGCAGTGCTGTTCCACTGACACTCGCCATTCGTGGCACCACGGTCGTGCTCCACATTCTCGGATGACGTTTTACCTGCCTGCGCGTGCGCGAAATCAAAAAAATCCTCGTGTTCGCGCATGCGCAACGAATTAAAATCTGAAGTTTAAAAATCTCGCATACAAAACAATGCAAAGTACGGGAAACAGATCAAGCCGCGACCGCGGCTCGCAGTTTTTGATCAAGAATTGTAGCGAAAGCTCGCAGTGAGCTGCGGCCTCGCTGCTCCAGCTCGAGCCGCGGTCACTATGGTAATGACGTTTCAAGCCAGGGATGACGAGCAGCGGAGCCGCAGTGGAACCCGGCCGTTATGGACTCTTGTCGTTACAGATATAGGCGAGCAATGTAGAATGCGTGACTACGGTAGGCAGTCCAGAAGAACATCGCAAACCACCGACCATTGGTTGAGAAGAAAATAAGCCACATACATACATACATACATACACAGCCAGTCCTTTTACAAGTATATATAGATAAGAGAGCGCCTCTCGGATATGTCCGAATGGGAGCAAATCATTAGAAAGAAGCGTGTGTCTTGTGCACACGGTCGTTGTACGGGCATCTCCCGCAGCAGATTCAGCGAGAGGAATTTAGAATCACACAGTACGAGACACACCATAATCATAGCCAGGTAGCAGCACCGAGTTCTTACGTTGGCAGGTATACAGTGGGACGAAAACCGTTATCAGTGTGTCGAAGGCAATCGATTGACACTGCAGACTGTCAATACTATATTCCGCAGTGTTTTAAATACAGCGTGCGTGGGGGGCTCAGAGCTCCAGTGTTTCGATTTGCCTGAAAAGGTCCTTGCTGTTCCGCCAGTCGCCGATACAGATGAGAAAACAATCGATTGCCCCTGTAGACTGCCAATAATACATTCCGCAGTGTTCCTGCAGGCTTGGGGCGCTCAGAGCTCCAGCGTTTCGATTTGCCTGACAAAGTCCTTGCTCTTGCGCCAGCCGCCGATGCAGATGAGCGTGTTCTTGTAGAGGAGGACGCGAGCGTAGTAGCGCGGCTCTCTCAGCGGCGGCAGCGGTCGCCAGTAGCCCTTGACCAGCACGTTGCAGTTGCCGGTGACTTGCTGGACGGTGTCGCGACCGTTAGGACGGCGCGTCTGCATGCCACCGCAGGTGATCATGCTGCCGTTCACCTGCACAGCGGCGAACATGGTGGCCGGGACGGTCGGTATGCTTGAGTTCATCCAGCTAGACTCGGCGGCGGCGCGGATGTGGGAGCCGGCGGCCGTCTTCCGCGTTCTGGATGGCTCGACGGCGAGGGACGAGCTCTTGGACGTCCTGGGCGTCGCGCCGCCGTCGTCTTCCCAGCGGCCCAGCAGGTGGAACACTGGCTCAGCGGGAAGAAGAATGCCGCAGGCGCCTGGCTTAGGCGTGTTGGGCCAGCGGTCCCAGACGGGCTCCCGGCTGGCAAAGCGCCCCGTCAGATCGTCGTCGCGCAGCGAGAGCGCATGCACGGACGAGGACACTCCGGACATGCCGCTGGCCGAGTAGTAGCGACCGCCGACGACGAACAGCTGAGAGCCGTTGACACCGGCGCAGTACGCGTGCACTCGCTCAGGCAACTCGCACAGGTAATGATAGAGGCCATTCCAGTAGCGGTACAGACGGGGGTAGTCGTCCGTCGGATCGTTCGGGTGGACGAGGCAATAGAGCGACGAACCGTGCACGATCCAAGCGTTGATACACGAATCACTCCTGCCAATCCGCGGCGGGCTATTCAGCTCGAAGAGATTCCTGGCGTCCAGGTCGTCCACTGGTAGCGAGTACGGTTTCCACACCCCGGCTACGGCCAAGGAGAGGTAGATACGTTTGCCGTATATCACTGGCTCGCCAAAGCCGTTGATCCACTCTGGAAGATATCCAGACACCTGCCACTGTACAAGAGCACATACATGTAATCGTAGAGCGGGCAGGGGAAGTGAGAGGAGGATGGACAGCATTACAGAAAAACAAAACAGAGACATGTAGACAAACGAAGAACCGACACAGCAGGAAGATGGGGTTCAGGGTTCTCATTTAAAATTGTTCTGAAAGGGTAATTATGTGTCAGTACCTACAACTTGTAGTCATGTTGCTGGCTTGTGAGGTCAGCCAGAGAGCGCTTGTAGTGTGGAATAGCCAGAGAGCGCTTGTAGTGTGGAATTGCTTCTCGTTAACATGTGTTGGGTTTAACTTCTCACTGGTGATCCTGTGTTGGCCCGCCAAAAGAGGCTTTTTTACACCTGCAAGATGGGGTTGAGATGTGGCTGGCCATCAAACCAAGCCACGCTGACGGCGGCAGTGTGCAATGCGCAACCTGGACACTCGTCAGCCACACAAAACGGAACTCACTTGTCTACGTACTCTGATGATCTTGCGTTTAGTACACTGATATCGTCCGCAGCATGCACATGTGTAATATTCCATGCATGTACATGTACTTCAAGTACAGTCAAATCTGTCGTAAGCGACCGCCCCTTGGTGCAAGAAAAAGCGGTCGCTTACGGCAGATGGTCTCTTACGGCAGATGTATGGTAAATCCGGCATACCAGGTATATGCTTCCATGTACTCAAATCGACGAGAATAATGTGATTTTTAATACTCAATCTGCGGACAGCATGCTGTTTCGTTCTTTTTGAACTCATCAGCGCGCGCAGCACAGAGGAAATGAGGCCGAACCTGATAGCAATGGAAATAAAAATTTCCAATCAGGCCCGAACGTACCTTGCCAGAGTGCTCAAACTGACAAGTCAGTGAGCTCTGCATAACGCAAACAGCAAAGGCACTACCCCACGCAAGAGTGCTCAACTGCTACAAGAGCAGGAGCGAAATACTCAATCTGCGGACAGCATGCTGTTTCGTTCTTTTTGAACTCATCAGCGCAAATGTGATTTTTAATATCATTTTATTGGATATTCAACGACGACCATACCCGTATTACGCGTATGCGACACGGCAGTAGATCGACACTGCCTGGACTTGAGAGCTACAGCACAGCCTCAGTACACAAGTACACATGGTACAGGCCAGGCGCCAGTCGATCGCACTTGCAAGACAGCGCATTTTCACACTTTGCAGTTGACAGCGCACTGGCAAGTACAGTTTCGCACCTTAATGAACCTGGGTCGCGGTCGCTTACAGCAGATTTGAATGCAGCCACCGTGCATGAAATCGCGGTCGCTGGTCGCGCACTGCAGATGGTCGCTCTGGACAGATCAGTTTGTATGTGAAACCGTCGGTGCACGGAAAATCGGTCGCTAACGGTAGATGGTCGCCTACAGCAGAGGTCGCTAACGGCAGATTTGACTGTACTGACTACAGTGCAGGGCTGCTCAATGAAATCCGGTCAAGTGAGTCAAGTTTGCACGTCCTTGCACCATTTCGCAGACCAGTGTTTGCAGATACCCAAGGGGTGGGTTGAAATCAGGGAGTAGTAAAAATGCATTTTACTACTCCCTGGTTGAAAATTCGCCGCCTGGTTGAAATCAACCCGGGCGAATTTTCAACCAAATTTGTCAAGCGAATTTTCAACGGGTCAAGCGCAATGCGTTATGTAAACTTCTCATGTAAACACAGCCAAGCTAAGAGTAAGACAGACTTTTCTGCACCCCATGACGTACGCAATATCAGGGTTCTACTAGCACAATAGTGCTTACCTTGGGCACAGTAGGTCTCTTGTCATCATTTCCCGATGGGGGTGCACTAAGTAACCGCAGATAACGTGCTTTCATGCCCTCCGCATCGTCGTACAACGCCATTCGTGTGCACAGGTTCGCGTAGTCCGTCAGTGCCGCCTCGCAGCGCCTGCGAATCTTCCTCTCGTGCGCCAGCATCTCCCGGAACATCAGCGTGTCCGCAGTGGTGTCGTGTAGCCGGGGATACGCTGCCACTGTCGTTTCCGGCGCCCGGGTAGCGGCTCTTGCTCTTCCGTCGTCACCTGCAGCGGCGGCGGCTAACTGAGCCTGCACGTCCGCTAGCTCCGCCGTCTGTTGCCACTGGATGTAGCTTGGTGGTGGGCTACTCTGACTGCTATACGCCGCACGGCCCCCGTCAGGACGGTCGCACTCCGGCTGGCTCGTGCCGCTGCCGATTCTCAGCAGGCCCTCCGCCTGTTGCGCTAGCTTCAGTTCGCTAGCTTTCAGAGTGGCGATGCTCGAATTGATCGTCGACAGAGTATCGCGCATATCCTCGTGCTCCGAGCCACCGTCCAGCGACTCGTTGCGGAAAGCGCGAAGCTTGGCCTCACGGTCGCTAGTCGATGGCCTAGTCCTGCTCCTGGGCCTGGGGCGGCCGTCGACTGTATCCCCGAAGACTTCCTGGTCTCGGGCCTCGTTCGAGCGAATCGAGGTGTCCTTGGCCCCTCGGGCGACAGCCAGCTTCGTCTCCAAGCCGTTTAGAACATCGTCGTAATCGCTGTTCATCCTCTCCCGTGCGGCACGGAACTCTAGCAGGGCCGTCTCCATCATGCCGACATTCGACGGCCAGTCTATACCGGAACCCACCGTGAATGTCTTCTGATCGACTTCGTCCCGAATGCGCTCCGCCAAGCTCCTGTCAGTGGTCGAGAGCTTCAGCTGGTTGAGATCATCCGCAGACAACCAGCCGCTTCTTTCCCTGGCCAGCGGAAGCTGTTGAACTTGGGCAGGGCCCAGGGACTGCATTTGCGCACCGGCCGACATTATAAGACGTGGTCCGCAGGTTGTAGCTCAACTGTCGCCGGCCTGTCGTTCAACACGTTGTGAATGTTGTCAGTACTGTACTAACAGTGAGTTCATTCGCAAGGAAGATTTTTGATTTTCAGCAAAGGGCTGACCTACACGTACACCGAGGACTGGCCACCGACGAACCGCGAACTTACTTACGTAACAAGTCGCTGACCGTGTGTAGTCTGTAGAGTCAATACTGACAAAGCTACGACTAAGAACAAGGAATAAGCATGAGACCATCAGCAGATCAGTGCATCATGAAGTTTGGCACACATGAATCATCACAAATCACTAACTTACTTTTATCGTGGTCTCAGTGCAGTGCAGATCCACGAAGTGTGAAGAGGATCTAGGATCGATGACTCTTTGAGGAGTGCAGTGACTCGACTGTCAGTTGAACCATCTAAATCCAGTCCAGTAGCACTACAGTCTACACTACAGACATTTCTGCTGAATGAAATCCGATCGAACGAGTCTGCACCTTGCTGTGCATTGTGTTCGTGTGATTCTGTCTTGCCCGATGTGCAGCTCCGTGTGGTGCAGACCAGGTGTGCATTGCTGCGCTCGATTCACATGGCTTCGCCAGTTGCGTGGATATCTGGCGCTAGTCTACCAGGTCTACGTCTGTTTCATTCGGATCTTGTCCGTGTGAGACAATAATCTGTGGCACATTGTTTGTTTTTGTTGTTTTTTCTGGTGCACATCCGGATATCCGGTGCATTTGCAGATTTGCGTGCTTCTCTTTCTATTCGACGGGCGTAGTCCACACGGTCATAGTAGTACCAAGAGTATAATTATAACCCCTCTCTTGTACCTCCATCACCTCTGCCCTCTTTTCTCAAGACCCTTCGCATATATTCTAGTGATTGTTAGTCTTGGTCATAATATGACCAACATTATGCTGTCTGGTGCTGAGTGTTGTCACACGGAACTCCGAGTAACAGCGGAAAGAGATTTGCCGTTTGCTTCATTGTTATGTAATATTTGTATTACTGGCTCACTGGCTCTGACTTAGGGTCCTGCGGATTCTGCCGGCAGAAAAATTGGCAGAATTCGGTACTTTTTCTGGTAAGTTTCATGCATGTTTGGTATGTGGATAAAGAAATGGAGCAGAGTTCGAGGAATTGCCCGCCATAAGGTTTGTATGGTTCTGCCCATTTCACTGCTTTTCGAGCAGAATCTGCCAACTTTTCGAGCAGAATCCGCCGGTCCCTAGGCTCTGTCCACTGGCCATTGAGCACTGTAAGCAGCCCGAGGACTTTAGACAACTGTCTAACCCCTCACTTGTGTACTCTTCATAGTACGTATCTAATATTGACTGAGTACGAGGTCAATATAGGAAATATAAGCCGAGTAAAAGACCGAGGCGAAGCCGAGGTCTTTTACGAGGTCTTTTATTTCCTATACTGACCAAGTATGAAGTCAATATTTAGATTTATCACGACTAGCCAAAGCCTGTGTTCAATCGCTAAAAAGGAGTCAAATATAAGCGGTCAATATAGCCCTAAGGAGTGAACTATGTACCGGTACATGTATCTAATGTGAGTACGAGGTCAATATAGGAAATAAAAGCCGAGTAAAAGACCGAGGCGAAGTAGAGGTCTTTTACGAGGTTTTTATTTCCTATACTGACCAAGTACGAAGTCAATATTAGATTTATCACGACAAACAGACCGTATTTCAAATTCCAGAACGATAACCTCATGAATCCCGGTTTTATGATTGCACAACCGTTGCACCACCACCTACTCATGCAGTGACAATGTTGCAGTAGGCACCGTTCAACTGCGCAACCCCTAAGCAGTCAAATATAAGCAGTCAATATAGCCCTAAGGAGTGAAATATGCAGGAATATTTGACTGCTTAGGTATAGCGAAAATCAATGGGAGTCAATACTAAGAGAGTGATAAGCAGGAATATTATTTTGACTGCTTAGGTATGGCAAAAATCTATGGGAGTCAATACTAAGGGAGTGATACTGACTAAGGGAGTGATAATGTTCAGTACTATTACTAGAAATAATCTACGTGGAGATAATAATTTTAATATAGCTATGAATAGGATGAAGGCCGCAGACATCACGCAACTACGTTACTTGTTCGACATGTATTTACTGCTGTCAACACCTGACCGCACGTATCAAACAGCATGTACCACTGCATATTCTGCCGGATGCAGCTAAATCCAAGCGGCCGAAGCGTGGCCGACCGCGCAAGAACCCACCCCCTGTGCCAGTGGTACAGACTGAGCCAACACAAAATGCGGTACCGTGTGAGAGGGCTAGGCTGCCCAAGTTACCAACTCCAGCAGCACCACCGTTGCCCTTGCCACCACCAGAACCGCCACCGGCTCTTCTTGTGGCGGGGGCTGCAGTGGACCCACCTACACCCGCGCTGGCATCACCAACTCTCACACGAATTGCCACGGCTCCCACATTAATCCAGAGACCTCGGAGGGCAACAGCAAACTACTCCACAGATATTTATGCCAGAAACGGCCAAGGACCGCGCGTTGTGGACAATACCAACAGAAAGAAGGTCGAGCAGGATCATGAGTCAGTGAGTGAAGCGGAGCTGGAGGAACAACTCCGCTCACTGGACGAGCAGCTAGCAAATGGGAGACAAGTGGTCTGTACAGAAACGGAGGATGAGACAGGTGATCAGAGGATAGAAGAGCAAGAAGAGCAATTGGATGACGAAACGGTTGGTGAGGAGACAGAGGACGAGGCAGATGATGGTAGTGATGATGATCGTGAGGATGACGAGCGGAACGAGGAAGAGGATGATGAGATGGACGAGGAGGAGTCGGGTGGGAAGGAGCGAGATGAGGCGGATGAATGTGTTGATCGTAAGAAGTCAGCTGTGTATCTACACTTGTTATCTCGTCCTGACTGTCTTAGTGTGTATGATGACTCTCATTTTTCTGTACTGTGTCGTGCGCGTTATGTCCAACAGTTGAAAGTCCTTGAGGCAGTCTGTATACGTATTCATAAGCCTGTTTTGTGTAAGCAGAAGGAGCACGTTGTTGCACTGAAGTTGTATTCGTAGGTTGACACTTCGTTTAGCGCCTTCTCGCCTTCGGTTACGTAATCTTGTTACCTTTTTGCGTTTCCTCTAGTGGTTTTATTGCACTTGTATTTTGTTGTTATTTCTAACACATTTCTATTTACAGTACTTAACTTCAGTTTCTTTGGTTGTATCCTTAGTTCCGTATTTTTCCCACTGATGATAGGAACAAGAAAATCGATTATGGGTTTTCAATAATATTTTTGTTATAAAATACACAGTAAATACATGTCGAACAAGTAACGTAGTTGCGTGATGTCTGCGGCCTTCATCCTATTCATAGCTACATGTATATCACTATTACTAGACCTACTGATTAGTAGGTCTAGTAATAGTACTGTACATGTACAGTAGTATTACTTGTATGATTATACACAGAAGCCTTGCTTGGACATGTTTTTCGATTTTGACAGCATGTTTATATAATACAAGGCGAGGACGCGTACATGTAGTGCTCCTGACTACAACCATAACCCGATTGGCTCGGCTTGTAACATGCTGTCAAAATCGAAAAACATGTACAGTACATGTACTCGAAGTAGACCTACAAATTAAGTACAATAATGTAAACCTACCATGGCATTTTGTTTTCAATCCTCCGCCATGGCAAATTGTGTTTTGTTCGCCCGTAAAAGAGGCTTTTACTACTAAAAAAAAAAAAAAAAAAAAAAAAAAAAAAAAAAAAAAAAAAAAAACCATGGCACCATGTCATGGTGAAGCGGTATTATTGTTTTGTAATTTCCCACTTGAGTTTTTTGCGCAATTCTTGTTTTCTACTTGAAGAATAATCATATCGGGGTTCAGCATGAACAATTCAGCTTGCATTGTGTATCAGTTGTGTTCATTACCTTCGCGAACATTGTGCCGTGGCTCCATGTTGTGATTCTTCCTGGAGTATGCTGGTAGTGTGATCATGACTGGATATCCATGATTGTGCTGAAGTAGTGGAAGTAGCTGAAGAACAATCATGTACATGCATGTGGGTTAGCTTTTGTCACAAGTTGGTTTCGTGGCTTTGCTCACAGTCATTCTACTGAGTACTGTCTCATGTTCAAACTACAAAATTAATGTAATGACTGTAGTGTAGTAGGTCATGTGCGTGCACTCCGCAACACTGTGCCTTAGCTTTCGCCCTCACACCCAGGCATTGGCGGATAATGCTCGAAAAGGTGGCAGATTCTGCTCGAAAAGCAGTGAAATTGGCAGAACCATACAAACCTTAAGGCGGGAAATTCCTCGAATTCTGCTCCATTTCTTTATCCACATACCAAACATGCATGAAACTTACCAGAAAAAGTACCGAATTCTGCCAATTTTTCTGCCGGCATTATCCGCAAAGGTCTACTCACACCCGCAGTGACTTCCACACACAAACACGGCTAGCTCCGCACTTGTCTTATTATTATTATTATTATTATTATTATTATTATTATTATTATTATTATTTACCCGCACATGTACAGTGCAGATTGCAGCCTACAACGTAGTGAGTTGGTTGACACAATCGTTTTCTCATCACCATTCCCTGCATGCTGCAGAGACTGCACCACTTCACGGGTTCTTTCTGCTGATTGTCTTGGTACTACCGGTATTTGCAGTAATAGATGGTTGTTTTTTAAACTTGTTCACCCTCCACGGTTTGCCTTGATATTGGTCTAATAAGACTTGTCTACCTATACATGTACATGCAGTTTCCTTAGCAGCCCGCAGGATTTACCAGGTGCTAGCGGTCGTCGTAAGTTCCATCGGGAACGAAATCGATTACTTTTACCAAGAGTACATAAAAAATATGTACTCTTGCTTTTACCTTAAGGTGGCAGACTACCCAAAAATTCGCTGAAAAATCGAATTTGTAAATTCATATTGAGTGCTACGTCAGTTGAAAGAGCATGAATAGCTGCAAATTCTCTGAAAATTGTGTCCCTATCTGACCAGCCGTTCAAGAGTTAGGGCCGAAAATGTGCCCTTGCAAGGAAAGATTTTTTTGTTGCATGCTGTCATTTGTTGGCAGCACTGTATTTGAATGTGAGCAGACCGCGTGCGCAACTTGTCGTATCATGGAAACACGCGAAAGTGTGCAGAATTTTGCCCCAAGTCCAAAAAAGTCCCAAAAATCACGTTTAAAATCCACGTATTGGGCTGCACGGCGGCGGGCGAAGCCCGCCGCCGTGCAACAGGACTTTTGCCAGCACCCTCGTGACGTTGCAGATATGTGGCTTGATTATTGTAGTTGACGTTGATTTAGTGACTTTGGCAAGTTTGAGTCGTGTCAAGAAGTCAGGTAGGATTCAGTACTAGGCAGTAGTGAAACGTGAGTGGCAGTCTTTGCCGGTTTCTGAGGGCATCCTGGATTTGGTGTGCAGCGCTGTGGAAATGGCTTGCTGTGGAGGTCCCAGCACTGGATGTTGTATCAAAGGTACGACCTCGTAGCACGTGCTAAACCTAAAAAAATTCAAAAATTGACTTGGGTCTGTGGGAGTCCGTGAGAGAACGCCCACTCGTTCCGTTGTGACAGATTCCAGGGCCACGTTGTGGGGCCCTACCCCACCACCCATGGCTGCTTCTGGACTTGTTTTAGGTTTGGGTCCCGCGCACGGACAGAATGGGCACGAAAATGTGAAAAAAATGTAAATGCATTTGTTTGGCTCCTGGGTGGCTCGCACACCATACCACTATGCCGGAAATTCGAGTTTTTCCGGCCTGGAAAGCCTGTCAGTGAGGCGCAAGAACTTGTAAATCATGTCCTGAGGGCCAGCATAGTGGCAGGAGTGTGTGGTCGAAATTTCACTCAAATCCACTGAGAAACACCAAAGTTACGGTCAATTGAATGCCATACGAATTTTTTGGGTGATGTGCCCCCTTAAAAAGGGTATGCCACTGATATGATTAATTTTGTGTTTACTGTGAGAATTCGAAGGAGTTATTTTTTGCAGCGGAGAGGCAGGAGGTTGAATTAAGACAGAGTATGACGGTGTGCAAAAGGACAGGTACATGTACTAGTACCAAGAGTACATAAAGGTTTATGTACTCTTGCTAGTACATGTACACGCCTGCCCACAAGGCCTTTTAAATGCACTGGATGTGCACCCACAGATTTTCTCTTATACTTATAGCAACGGTAGCGGACAAGATCTGAATGAGACAGATCAAGACTTGCGCCAGATATCTGTCCAATCCACACTACCTGTGAAGCCACAGTGTTGGAATCGACCACCAATGCACACCTTGTCTACATCAGTGACAACACGGATTATAACTCACCGACACACAGTCTGCTCTATACCATACCAGTAATAAGTTGTTCAAGGGAGGATGAGGTGTAGAATAATGGTGGAACACTTCCAGAGGTGCGAGAGACTCATTGAGCAAAACACGTGTGACAAGGTGAACCTAGAGCTAAAGCAATGATGTACATGTAGGTGAATTGGAGTCTCATTAGCAAGTGCTTGGACTCAAGTACTGACTGTGACTCTGGACAGTAAAAACAATCCTTGTCTAAAAAAAACCTGGTGGGGTCTAAATAGGTGCAGTGTGTGTGGTAGCTCAAACCACTCTAGCTCTGGACATCAGCATTATTATATATTTTGCAGCAACAGTGCAGTATTACTTTGTTCTATGCAAGTCGTCAACGTAACCGTGCTGCGACCCACAGTTATCAAGTTGGGAACTTGTGGCCTGGCACGAGGGTACCATGGATGCAGCTTATGGGATTTCGGTCTTTGACCACTTAGTGGTGGGTCTGATCTACCCACCTCCCACCGTTTATCTGCGCCTTTGATCCTAGAGGGTGGTGGCGTTCCCACGACGGATGCGGAAAACTGGGCTTCCAGCCGAGTCTCACGCGAACCGTGAAAAAAAATGAAAAAAGTCGTCCTCTGACGTGCATAGACCCCAGACTGATGGATACGCACATGCATTTCGATGCAGCCGCGTATGGTTCATTTAAAAGTTTTTAAAAGGGACAATTCAGTGTGCTTGGTATCCTCAAGCCGCCACACTGAGAACAGTATACCGGTAAAGCGTAAGTAGCCGCTCCACACAAGTGTCAACTCTGAGGTCCGTGCATGCTAGAGAAGAACAACTAACTTAGAGCAGACAGGACAGCATTTTTTTCTGCCAATCGGGTCTGCACAGTCACGCCAAAAGAGGCTTGAATTTGAACTACATGTAGAAAATCAGGCCATCGGCATCTCTCGTAACATACACTAAACCGTGTGTGTGTGTGTGTGTGTGTGCGTGTGTGTGTGTGATATAGTGCATTGTTTCACGTCTAAGTATAGTTTATAACTTTATACCTCAAAACTGGGTAGTATGCTAAACGACGGTGCGCGTTCTCTACCGAAATTACTGAATTATTTACTTCAAAGTATTTATCTATGGTAATCATTTCACATCCCAAGGCATGCTGTTGCCAATGAGCGGGAAGGCGGTAAAACCAACCGTGGCCGTTGGAGAACCAACCGTTGAAAGAAATTAAAATCAGAACTGGATTAAATCCCCCTATCAATAGTTTGAGGAAGGAATGCCACAGTCTGAAAGGGACTATTGTGGTGCTGCAAGCATGACCGTACTGCACTCACTCTATAGTGCGGGTTACACCGAGCATACACACGGCGTGCAGTACCGGCACTGACGTGCTAGTCCACGCCGCCCGCGATGTCCGGGCCGCCTCGTATAGACCAGAGAAGCGAGTGCACGTCGCTTTGCGAATGGCGTTCAGGCGGCCCATTCACACGGCTCTATACCTGCTCGCCGGCTTCAGGCCTTCAGCACTCCGGGAGAGGACCCTGCAGCCGACAAGTCACACTTGCATTTCACAGTCAGGCGGCTTATTTGCTGCCACCCATTGGCATGATCCGCGGCAAGGATTTCGAGGCCTGCACTCCCTGTTCCGGAAGCGGCGGGCTCTTGTTGACCTTCTTAAACGACTTCGAGAGCACTTTCTTTCGGGCGGCCACCACATCCACGTCGCGCATGTAGCCCGCATCGTCGTTGCTGGAGTCGTCTTCCTTGGAGCAGAGAACGGACACGTGTGGATCGAAACCCAGTGAGGTCTCCTGAGACTCAGTGCGGTTCACTGCAGCCTGATTGCGACTCACGCAGCTGAACGCGGTGGAAATAGCGTCCAGATTGGGGTTGGTTAAGTCCAGATACGTCGGGTCCTTGGGGTTGGCGTAGTCAGACCGCGGCGGCAGGGGCAGCGGCGGACCCCTCGACACCATTGAGTGGCGCGTGGAGCTGGAGTCAGGCGAGCCGACGGCCGGACGCCAGATATACGAGCCCAGAGTTCCGTTGTAGTTTTCCGGATCGTCCGAGCCCAGTCGGCCCTGGCAGAACGACTTCTGAGATCCGTAGGCCTGCTGCCCGTGCTTCCTGTACCTGTCCGGGGAGACATGCCTCGACGAATGGCTGCTGATCACTGGCGTGGACATGGCCCGACGCTTCTGTCGGCAATGAATCGTCATTGTGCACGCGGCCAGCATAGCCAGAGCCACAGCAACGCAGATCAAGACGGTGACGGTGATGTTGCCAGGGCGTTTGATCCAGCCGCCGGCTGCGTTGGAGAATGCTTCTGTTGGTGGAAGACTAGTGCTTTCGACTGCATATCAACACACACACACACACACGCACACACACACACACACACACACACACACACACACACACACACACACACACACACACACACACACACACATACATGGAAGCGAAGGGAAACACACACACACACACACACACACAAACACAAACAAGTTTGCACACACGCACGCGGGTGCACACACACACACACACACACACACACACACACACACACATGCCCATCGCGGAAACGATGATAGCGAACAGCCATGTTAGACATAGCAACTTGTGCTGGGATTACACCATTCAACAGCTTGCAAGGCTGATGAATTGACCGCCACTAATTTTTAGCCTGGTATCCACCACACAGCTGATTGAAGTGGCTTTTCTGGCCAATGAATCTCTATTTTTCATTTTTTCATTTTTTTACACACAACCACCCCACATACTCCGGCATACACTGGACACATGCACACACACACACACACACACACACGCGTGCACACACACACACACACACACGCACACACACACACACACATACACACACACACCGTCCCAGTATCTCTCTCTCTCTCACTCTCCCTCCCTCTCTCTCTCTCTACATTGATGCTAGGGTTGATTGGAATTGGAACCAACATATCCGCCTTTTAATGAGGTTTATACTGGGAAGCCAGTCCACCATGCAGCCTACTCCTGCAGCCGTCTTCGCTAAAATAAACCTCAGCCTGTGTATCCAGTACCGATTCAACAACCTTGAAACACTCCGCATTCAGAAAGGGGGAGAGGGGGGGGGGGGGGTGATGGTGGTAGTGGCGATGTTGGTGGGGGGGGGGGGGGTGCTTTCTCGTTTGCTAGCCGAGTCACGACGATGGTTTAATGGCTGCACTGCCCCGCACCTGTCCATAGTATTTGGCGTGACAAGGCTACATTGGAAGTGGAGAAAATGTAGATACAGATTTGGAGACTCCCTTGATTCAGGCTATTTTAAAGGCCGATGGAGAATCCATAAATACAAATACAACATAATTGCATGCAAAGTTTGCTGCTGCTCACCTTGACACCTGGTCGCTTGGGTTGCACTCCAGGTACCATTCTGTGTGCAGTGTGCCAGTCGAGATCCATTGAGAACGTATCCCGCGGAGCACTCCACGGTGTACATACCACCTATCTGCAGGTTGTTGAACTCAATACGGCCGTTGTCTGGCTGCACCGGAGTTGGACAGGTTTTCAATGGTGCTGGTTGGAGTTGTGCTGAGAGTTATAAAATGTAAAGGTCGTCACGAAGACAACAATCAAGAACAAATGTGAAACTCGGGTATTGAGCCAATGATAAATGTAGAAAGGAAAAGGACATATGGAAACGAGTTAAGAGGAACTCTCCACCACTGTAACTAGATACTATATACAGTCAGGAAGTACAACAACTAGGCACAAGACTGACAGGGTACTGAGACATTCAAGAATAAATGCTTGGAATATTGAATGTTTTTTTAAAAGTATTGATCTCCAACTGTGGGTTTACTAATAAAAAATACATGTGTTTATTTATTTATGTGTTTATTTATAGGCACAGCCAAGAGAATTCGTGTACATGCTCATGTTTCTTGATGTTTATATGGTTTGAGCACAGTGCGAGTCGCACAGTTTCGGCAATGTTGTAGCGACCTCGCTGCATGACGTCAGCTCCCTCACCAGATATGCGCATGCGCATGACACATTTCTTCCTCTTTGCTCTAAAATAAACAACAACAACTAGACAAAGTTGCCCTCTCCTCGGAGTTGTAATTTATTAGGCCCCAGGGTGGTATGTCCCGGGATTCATCTGTCTCCCCCGTGAACAGATACGACCTCTGCCATCCTGGGTGCCTAAATTGGTGACCCCCGACGCTGCGCTCGCGGAGCATTCTAGTATTTTGACTTTCCGGATTTGGGAATTCGTGGTGCCTCTCGCCGCCCACCCGCCCTCGGCACACCTGGAGCTGCTGCGGACTACGCCCTCCTGCCGCCGCCATCCGTCGTCATGCTGCTTCCGCCCGTCAGCCTGCCAGCCATCACTGGTTTTCGCCGCAGTGACTGAGTCCGTTCCTGCGTGCACCGCATTCTGGCTGCCTGTCAATCACCGGCTGTTGACATTAAACTTGAGCCTCAACATCCGCACCTCACCGCCTGGACTTGGAGCAGCTGTGGAGCAACCACCCTCCAACCACCGTCCAGTGTGCGCCGGCCACAAGCTGGAGCTTGGCCCCCTCCCACCCGCAAAGCCTCCCCAGTCGTGGAGCCAGCACTGCTGCTGCTACTACTACAACATTGTATTGCTGTCATGTTCCGTACCTGGATTGGCTGCCGACTACCCAGTCGCCGCCTCGCCACATTGATACACGGCTACATGGGCTGTTCATCGGCAAGTTTTCCTGCAATTGATTACTGCGCGTCTTTGCCTCTGCCTTCACAGTTTGCATACAGTTTTTTTTCTCTCTCTTTCCGCCTCTGACATGCTCTCCACCTCTGTCACGTTAATCCACCTCTGACATGTTAACCCGCCTCTGTCATGCATCTCTTTTCGCTTTCTGCATTTTTCTCCTCTGTTTCGGCCTTTGTTAGCCTCGTTAACAAACATTGGGTACGCCACATGCAGCGCTCTTTCTATTTCCTTGTTTTTTTCTCTGTCGTTCTCTGCGCTCCGCTTGTTCTCTGGTGGGGGAGTACTGTAGCGACCTCGCTGCATGACGTCAGCTCCCTCACCAGATATGCGCATGCGCATGACACATTTCTTCCTCTTTGCTCTAAAATAAACAACAACAACTAGACAAAGTTGCCCTCTCCTCGGAGTTGTAATTTATTAGGCCCCAGGGTGGTATGTCCCGGGATTCATCTGTCTCCCCCGTGAACAGATACGACCTCTGCCATCCTGGGTGCCTAAAATGTGTGAGACTCTGAGTACAGTGTGCGAACATTGCGAGCACAGTGTGTCAGCCAGGTGCAATGATGGTATCATCTGGAACAGAGCTGAAGGGCCTTCAGACATTCACCACATGACCAGACAGTGCAGGATAGCCCTGTGGGTTACAAACTCTGCCGGTTGCTCTCTACACCAGGGGGTCACACGACGGTGGCGGCCATATTTGTTTCGCTATGCACAGACCGCCATTCAGGGGTGAAGGGATCGGTCCAGTTTGGTCAGGCCACCGCCAAGGCAACTGTTTGCCCCGCTAACAGGCAACACGTGATTACTGGTGTTGAGGTCATGTGACCCGCCATATCGTACACAAAGCCTTTGATATGGCCGCTGGCTGGACCAGTCAACAACGGCATCTGCCAGTTTTGCCAGTACGCTTTCTGCATTAGATCACCACCCGGTCACACGACCGAGATGTGAAAGCACTCTAGACCAGTACGGTGTGGGCCCATCGCGCATTGCCAAATATGGAAGGTATGAGTAATGCATGTTAGTATGCTGAGATCAGCAATGCACTGTTCAACGCCCCAGACGACAGACGACCATGCGCAGATGGCCGTGTGGGGTATTTATGGTACAAATTACTATAATCATCATTGCGCACTGGGCTTATTGGGCCCAGGGTTTAAAGCTCACCTTCACACCTGCCCGCCAGCGGTGTCCAATGGCCGGTGCCGAGACACGTTGCTTCAGCTTTGCCGGCGCCGGTTGAGAGGCTGTACCCGCTTCTGCACTGTGCGGAGTACTTATTGCCGGGTGTTACGCCACCAACTACCAGATCAGCATTGGCAACGTGGGGTGGTATCGGGCAACTTTTACGCCCTTGCAATGCTGTGCGTGAAAAAAAAAGACACAAGAGAGCTTAGAGGGCGCACTTGGTTGGTACAGCCTAGAGAAGGATTCACCAGAACAGGGTGTTTGGTTACGATTGCACCTGTTCTTGACCGGCCGCAACTTGTTCTGATCTCGAGGCTGGAGCAGCTAGAGCAGTTCAATTGTTCACATTAAAACCCGGCGGTACCATCGATTTTGGTACAACCTAAAGCAGGATTCACCAGAACAGTGTGTTCGGTTGAGACTGCGCCTGTTCTGGGTCGGCCAGAACATATTCTGCTTGCTCCGACCTCAAGGCCGGAGCAGCCAGAGCAATCTTGCTTTTTCACAGTGAAACCTGGCGGGAACATTGATTTTGGTCCGAAATGATCACATGCGTACGCTTTTGGGCTGAATTTGGCATGCACTCGTTGAAGCATACAGAGTAACCATGAAAGCTTGCTGTGTTCTCACCACGCAGACACAGACACACCTCCCGCCCCCGCCCTCCCCCTGTCACCCACCCCCCACCCCGAACATTCGACAGAACAGAAAACATGTTACCGGTACTCACGTTGGCATGTGCCTTGTGGCTCCCAAGTGGCGTCCGCTCTGCACCGCACATACCCTGCTCCACGGAGGGCATAGCCTTCCAGGCAGTCTAGAGCGTACGCACTGCCAACATCCAGGTGTAGAACGTTAGCGTAGCCATTGGCTGGCGGCACAGGCAGTGGGCAGGATTTGGCTGTGCAGGACAGACGGGAAAGTGTAACATACACTCAAGCTGGTGAATACCGTGTATTGTAGTTTATACCATATTATGTACTCAGTCAGAACATGGAACACGGAAGTTTGATATGCTTTCAAGAGGATTTCAGAAGTATAACGAAGCAGTCAACAAAAGAACAACCATACATACAAGCGAGGGTCCCTGGTTCGAGTCCTGGTGGTGACAGTCATTTTTTTTGTTCAGACCTTTACCCGTTTGTGTCTTTCTCTCAAACCAGTGAATACATAAAAAATAGAAAAATTAATTTAAAAAAACAGCTGGAGGCATGCGCTGTGTGGCAAGTCAAGAAATGATGACTCGCAAGTACAGATACCACACCAAATTTCGCCGGTTGTAGGTCGCACTAGATTGTAAGTGGCACGCTCAATTTCAGATCCATGTCATATTGTTTCAAGGTATTCACTTCAGTAGCAAGTCATGCTTGATTGTAGATGTTATCCCCATTGCTGGCCCTGAAGTTGGGTGTAAAAAGGTGCGACTTATTCGGGGAAATGCGGTAACACACATGGTCGTCTTGCTTCGATTGAGATATCGCCGGAACTCTCTACGGACCAATTTTCCAACAAGTCGTCACTTGTGACAACTAAAATATCTGATTACGGGTATTCTCCACAGGGTTCAAATATGTGCACACAGACATACTATTCAGGCACGCCCAGACACACAAGCATACACCCAGGCACACACACACACACGTACACACACACACACGTACACACACACACACACACGTACACACACACACACACACACACGCACGAATAATAGTAAAAAACCAAAAAAAACCACACACATACATACACACACACGCACACATACATACACACACACACACACGCACACATACACAAGTGTGCAATATAGCCACATCACTCACGTTTGCATGTCGCCGTCAGAGGTGACCAAGTACCATCACTTTGACATGCTGAGCTAGCCGTTCCCATAGACCCCAGTTCGGGTACAAATCCGCAGTCACATCCCATGGTATATCTGTCACCCACAAGCAACCCATCGATCTTGACCTGGCCATTGGGTATAGCTAAAGGCCTTGGACATGTGACTTCCTCTGGTCGTCATGGATAAGACAAAGAGGCAACATGATGAAGAAGACAATTATCTCGCCAGAATGCTTAAGAGTTAAGACCACCAACAACTCACTCACTCACAACATAATGTCATGAAGAGGATTGCCAAGGCAGGAGAGCACCGCCAGTCTTTTGAAAGTGCATGCCATGTAGCTTGGGGTGACACACACTGTACGCACAAAACCAGACAAGAGACAAAACGGCAAGAGCGGCACACACACCCACACACGCACACACATGCACACACACACACACACACACACACACACACACACACACACACGCACACACATGCACACACACACACACACACACACGCACGCACGCACGCACGCACGAACGCACACACACACACACACACACACACACACACACACACGCACGCACGTTGTGTAACTTACTTTCACACCGTCCTGGTTTTGGCACCCAGGTACCGCTCTCAGTGCAGGTTATCAGCGTGGGTCCACGCGGGGTATACAATTCTGGACAGTGCAAGGTGGCAGTACCGCCTATGGCCAGGCTGCCAACGGCGATAACTCCTGTGCTTGGTTGCGTCGGCAACTGGCAGAACTCGGCTGTGAAGCACACAAAAGTCACACTCAGTACACACACCGAGCAGCGGGGATGGTGTGAGTGGGTAGTACTGCACAAACGATCCAAGCATGGCATACTTGCCAAGTGTTGCAAAAGGATCCACGAGCGGGATTCGAACCCAGCACCCCTGTCCTTCCGGGACAGTGCCCTACCGATTAGGCTACCGCGGATCACACACACTCATGGGTCCTTCTTGCGCCACTGCTCCCCGTCCCAACAGGCTGTGTCCTCACGCCGTACCTACTTGCGGGGGGTACGATGGGTCAAGGGTTCGAGCCCCAGGTTGGGCGCCAATGTAGTCTAAATAAGGGACTACTATACTATTATGTACAAGTCAACTACTCTTTATACTACTCGTCTCAGAACACACGTAAGGCTTTTATAATGGCTATAATATCAAAGGAAAGAGACTGGACTATCACAAATGTTCTGGACTGGGAGAACAGCACACAGAGGACTGCTGGTTAGGAATAGCACAAAAAGACTGGGAGAAGCAGCCCCTGCGCAAGAGCAGCCTTCTGAGTGTAGCTAAAGGTATGGAGGGAAAGAGGGGTGCAGGCAGCAAGTGGGAAAATAGGGCGAGCGGGAAAAGGGGTGCATACATTAAGGGGTCGTCGAAAAAGTTTTCTGCCGTCCCTGAAACGAACATCGTTCATTTCGTACTCGGACCCCCTCCCCTCCCTCTGAAACGAACACAGCTTGCTATGCTGGACGACGAATATCGCATGCATGTACATGTCATATGTACAGTGTCGGTCGACTTGCGATTTTGGCTCGCACCTCCTCCCCCCCCCCCCCAAATGAATCATGTTCGTTTCAGGGACGACAAAAAACTTTTGCGACGACCCGTAAGCGAGACAGGGTGAGCGGAAAACGGGGTGCATGAATGTGTGTAGGGGAGTGCGTGAATATGTGTAGGGGAGTGCGTGAATATGTGTAGGGGAGTGCACGAATGTGTGTAGGGGAGTGCATGCGTGTGTGTAGGGGAGTGCATGCGTGTGTGTAGGGGAGTGTGTGCGAGGCTCATAAATGTACACCACAAGTACTGTACTGAGAATGCTGTCACAGTGTCACAGTGTCAGGGCAAAACTCTGGAACTTGTCAGTGCGAACCTGACCTGAAGTACTGAAGTACTGCTAAAAGTACTCTTGACATGTACATGTACATGGGTACTCCAAGCCAGGTTGAAAGTGACCTGGTCGTGTTGTACAAATGGGTGCAAGTACCCCCCCCCCCCCCCCCCAGATGGGTGGCTGACCCAGCTCCAGAGCAGACATACACAAACGCACGCATTCACACACACATACATACACGCACGCGCGCACACCACACACACACGCACATGCACACACACACACACACACACACACACACACACACACACACACACACACACACACACACACACACACACACACACACACACACACACCAATACACACATACACACACATACACACGAACACGCACACGCGCGCGCGCACACACACACACACACACACACACACACAAACACACACACACACAAACACACACACACACACACACGCACATACATACACACACACACTCACACACACACATACACGCACACACACACGCACACACACCACACGCACGCATACACCTCAGACCTCAGACATGCCCATCGCGAAGCGATGATAGCAAACAGCTATGCTAGACATAGCAACTTGCGCTGGCATTACACGCACAAACCAACACACACATGCACACACCAACACACACACACACGCATACACACACACACGCACACACACACATGCACACACACACAAACACACACATGCACACACACACACACACACACACACACACACACACACACACACACACGCACACACGCACACACGCACACACGCACGCACACACGCACACACGCACACACACACGCACACCGTTACAACCCCTCCCCGCCATATACACACAGAGAATGAGCTACACGTACGCTTGCAGGTGACGGTCAACACTGACCATGCGCCGTCCGATCCGCAGTAAGATATATCAGTTCCATAATCACCCAGCGAGGCCTTAAATCCAGCATCACACGCAAGGGAGTAGTGGTCACTTTCAAAATGGCCGCCGATGTCGGGTTGAGCATGGGGTACGTACGGTACTGGGATCGGACAAGTTGCCTTGGCTATTGTGCGTACCGAGGAGACAAGAAATCAGCGGATTCAGAAAAGAACACAGAATTCGGTTTGTTTTCCAGGGTTACTTGACTGCACACATGGAGTAGCTATGTATGCAGTGATGGTTTGCCAAGAAGAACACTGGTAAACAAACTTCCGCTTTAGAGCTCGGACCTGGAAGGGGTTTCACAAAAGTCGGCGGAGGAACGCGATTTGCTAGGTGTGGCCCTACTTGTTTAGTCTTGTTTTCCAAAAAAATGTGTGCTTGCTATTTGTATAGGGACTGGCTGTATGCACATCATCATCATCATCATCAGGCGACAAACACACACATAAACACACGCATGCATGCACATGGACACACATGTGGGTGTGTGCGCACCCCCCCCCTCCGCACACACACACTTACGTACGTACACACATGCACGCACACGCACACACACGCACACACACACACACATACACACATACACACACATACACACACATGCCCCCCCCCCCCACACACACACATGCCCCCCCCACACACACAGACGCATGCCCCCCGCCCCACCGTGACACGCACAAAAGCAAAATGTAATACATTGTCACTCACGTCGGCAAGTTCCTCGTTTAGACCAGGTGCCATCAGGCTGACAAACCCTGATTGATTTTCCTTGGACAGTGTATCCGCGGTCACAGTGCAAGTCACTGGTGCTGAACACTGTTAACCCCGTGATAGTCAGGTAGCCATCAGCCGGGATGGAAGGCAGTGGGCAGGTTACGCCTGTAAAGCACAGAATGACACGAGCAGCACATCGACAAACGGAGCAAGTCTCGCGTCTTTCTAAACGTACAAAGTCGGAAGAAAATGTCGACCGGTGGCTGCTGGGATGCCAGCTACGCCATACTGAGCTCAGTGGTTAGAGAGCAAGGCCGGACTCAAGCCAAGGTTCATGGTTCGAGTCCTGGTGGCGACAGTCAATTTTTCTTCTTCAGGCTTTTCTCCTTTTCACCCGTTCCGCTCAAACCAGTGAGTATCTCATGTCTTTGTTTCTTCTGCATACTGAGTATGTGCAGAGTAATATAGGGTCATGTAGCGTATTAAAGCCGGGCTTATTCCTGTGGAAGCCGATGTCAGTGTTAGGTATTTATCCGAACCAGGTATTTCTGTGTATGGTAACACTAAAACCAGGTATTTCTGTGTATGTTACAACACTAAAACCAGGTATTTCTGTGTATGTTAACACTAAAACCAGGTATTTCTGTGTATGTTAACACTAAAACCAGGTATTTCTGTGTATGTTAACACTAAAACCAGGCTTTTGTGCAGACTCCGACAATGTACAGTGACACCTGGCTATGACGACCGCTCAAGGGACCTTCAAAAACGAGGTCTCTGTTACCAGGTGGTCTCCTTATCCAGGGTCATTTGACTGGAAATAGCATCCCTTGATCCTGGTTTCAGTGGTCTTCTTGGACAGGTGGTCACCGTATCCGGGCGGTCGCCTTGACAGGTTTAACTGTATCATGAAAACCAGGCTTGTATACAAAACAGGATTCTAACTATGAGCAAGGCTGAACTACTGTAGAGGCAGAAAATTTCGTCGGTCAATAATTTCGTCCAACTCCAAAGAAAAGGAGTTCGTCCGGTTGAAAATTTCGTCCGTGGGTCATAAGAGTGTATAGAAACGCTGGACAAATCGATATTCGTCCTACATTTAATTTAGTCCAAAAGCTCCTTGGACGAAAAAGACGAAATTAAATTCCAGACGAATATTTCTGCTTATACAGTATAAGACACCGCGACACGTAAGCTCTGCTGTGCTGCTGTGTGAAAGACTGAATGAATGACATGAGCAGCGGAGTGTCTGTGCACACTGACAAGTGCTTGAGCAGCCAGGCGATGACCATTGTCCTTATAAAAAAACGTACGTTCACACACGACTGGCAGTGGCTCCCAGGTCCCGTCACTGCGACACCGCGCCTGTGGATTTGCCGGCACTCCCCTCGGCAGCCTGTAGTTCTGGTTGCACGTTACCGTGTACACGCTGCCTTCGCTTAAGCTCGTGAAGTTCACCCGGCCGTCTGGAACATAGGCTGGTAAACTGCAGGTGATTTCTGGGAAGAACAAGAGACACACAATCATGTTATCTTTATGTTACTTCACCATAGGTACATAGGTACATAGGTACATAGGTACATAGGTACATAGGTACATAGGTACATAGGTACATAGGTACATAGGTACAGGCATTGCTGCCTTCTTGCTGTGGATCATAAACATTGCCACAGCTCCTAGATTAAGAAAAAGAACGGTATGAAAATATATATACGACGAACTATGACTAGCATAGTAAATAATAGAATGCAACGAAAACGGACAGCAATGGTGAACCGTCAAGGTAACAAGGTCCGGTGAGTCTGGCGTTCGACACACATGCACCCCAGGACACATGCTCGCAGGCCAGAATGTGCCATCCCGATTCACAGTGCACCGACTGCCGTCCCGATTCACAGTGCACCGCTGCAGTCCCGATTCAGTGCACCACTGCTGTCCCGATTCACAGTGCACCGCTGCGGTCCCGATTCAGTGCACCACTGCAGTGCACCACTGCCTCCTGAATGTGAGCACGTCATCATGGCAGCCATTGACTAGTACCCAAACTCTTCCTAACCGTTTCGTCTTCAAATGTCACTTGCAGTTGATAACCCTCAATACTATGCGACTACTTGTTCAGAACTGGGGAGGCAGTGTTTATCACGTAAAAAGTAAAAAAATAAAAATAAAGTAAATTATCATGTCCGTTCCCGAACACCCAGTAACCCCTAGTGGCAGATGCAGCACCTAACGGTGGGGGTGAGTGGATAAGTCTCACAATCACTGGCACAAGTGCCGAGAAAGCCCATTACTACCTTAAAGTACCGCCAGAGCACCCCGTCTCGCGAGAGCGCCCCACCTTGATTTTACAGCCAGAGAAAGGAAAATCGTATGGCAGAGTGCAACGAAGTGGGTACGATGTGAGAATCTTAGTGTACTAAGGTCACACTTGGCAGGTTTTTGGGTGGAGCTTGTGTCCTGTCGAAGGTACGGATTGACTGCAAAACGTGCAATATGGGTACAAGGTTCATGTCATATGACCTACAGACAGCAGACCACCTCCACAAAACGACCACGAAAGGATGAGATGGTGGGGCGCTCTGGCGGTACTTTACGGTACTAGTATCGGGCATTATCTCCATCCATGTATGTATGTTCATCACGTGACACCGTAAAATACGTCTTGGGAGCCAACAGTGAATGTGCCCCCCCCCCCCCGGCCCAGATACTTCTACCCCATCAGGTTCGGGTATACCTTTATCACGGGCAGGTTTAAGCTCAACTTTAGCCTTTAGCCCGATCATATCCTGCATACACAGCCACACATGGGGAGTTTTGCAAACCGGTCAAGTACGGTGGATTTACACATTCACTTTCTTTCTTTCTTTCTTTCTCTTACCTCTACTTTTCCACACCATCCTTAATTTTTATTCCCAGCGAGTCCATTGTTAATAATAAGCTCATCCTTTTTTTGATTCCCACTATAAAATTAAGCATACGCCAACACCAGCAACGCGAGTGCGTTGCAAGCTTGCAGCCTTATTTGGACACTTACCTTGACAGGTTGCGTTCTTTTGCGCCCAGGATCCGTCTGGTCGGCAAACGACCGTGCTCGAGTCGCCGCGGAGCTTGTAACCCGACGAGCACGCAATTGTGTAGCTATCGCCGGGACTGCGACCGTTGATTTGCAGGCTGCCGTTGGCCACCGGGCCCGGAGGTGGGCACATAGGTGCTGCGCCAGCACATGTACAGGGGCACGGGGCAGAAGATGCAAAAGGCACAGGATCATGGCAGGGCCGGTTTGGGATAGATCAGCAACATGCATGCACACACACACACTTGCACAAACACCCCCCCCCCCCACACACACACACAACCCCCCCCCCCCACACACACACACACATACACACATATACACACACACGTACGCACACACATGCAAATCGAATATGGATAACGTTCGCCCTCTTTGTGTCCGCGCCTGGTGTGTACCAACAAATCGATACTTCGATAGTCACCAGGATCTAGGTTTGTTTGGTGGGAATTACTTTGGTTCACCACATGCGGCTAGATAGGGAAAGGGCATATGAAAATACTTCAAGAAGTATATATTATGCATTGTTAAGAATGGTCTATGCTGGATCTTTTCCAGATAAGAACGGAAACCGAAATGTACAATAATAATGTACACTTAGACGCATAAATGCTCTAACAGATAAGACTGTACCAACGAATAGGAACGAAACACTGCCGTGTTCGCTAAAAATAAGAACGGGCTAGGCTAGAACCCTGACCCCTCCCCTTCCCCCCCCCCTCCCCTTCCCTCCCCCCATTCTTCGGCGCCCGACTGTACTGTACCTTGACATCGTGGAATGTCCGTCCAACCGATACCGTTGAGGTACGCCATAGTGCCACCGTCGCCCGGTCTAGCCGGGACCAAGCTATAGCCGGTCAGGCAGTAGACTTGAGCTCTCACGCCGTGCATGCACGGAACATTGAAAGGGATGCTGTTGGGGATCTTTGGTGACCTACAGCCTGCAGCTGTGTAACACGAAGAACACAGACACTAAATGTCGGCGTTCAAAGTACTGCATCTCAAGCTACCATGTACATGCAGCTCTATGATGGACGCGGATTTTAACGGAGGTTGTTGCACGGTGATCGCCTGGATTGGAGCAACGTCGTGCTACAGAAAGCTTGAAAGCCGGTTCAAAAATGACATAATCGTCTTTTTCGGATCGGGAGACTCACATCATGTGACTGTGCATTGGTGTCTACACAAACATACTCCAATGTACCGTATTTTCCGGAGCATAAGCCTCACTTTGAACACTCAAAATTCGCCCAAATAAAGGGGGCGCAGCTTATACTCCAACGATCAAATTAACGGAAATAAATAGGACAGATGTCTGTATTTCATGGCAAAAAAGAGGGGGGGGGGGGAGGTGTTGTGTCCTGATCCCCATGCACACAAGCATCCAGCTAGCCCAAGTAGATTGGGGAAAAAGCCATGAACAAGAGCATGTGCAGTGTGATCATGCTAGATCATGCTAGTGCTACAGAAGTAGGTATATACTACTATGTACAGTACACATGAGTACCTATCTAACAAGAGTACATATATAACAGGGGGGGGGGGGGTGGTGCGGCTTATACTCTGCAAACTACGGTATACATACTTCGAAGTACATACGCATACCTTCATGGGATGCTACCAAGAGTACGTAACTTAACCCCCAAGAGAGCGCACCTCCAATATCAGTGCTATGCCCACATGGTTTCAAGTTAAACAAAAGAAAAATGGACCAAGGAACTGCAAGTTACGCTATAATGTCCACTAACACCACCAGTTTCTAAACAATCAGCTCATGCGATAACATTGCACGACACTGGCCGACGGTACTGGCATTCTACAACTATCTGGCTAACAGCTCTAGCACATGTTGGATGCGCACTCCAACAACCATACACATACACACACATCATATAATTATAATTTATAATGGCTGTGAACTGCTGGACTCTTTCAAGTTGTTGCATGAAAGACTGTGCTTGCATCACTTGTCACTCCCTAGTCTGTACATAAGGCCAAGTAAACAAAATTGATTGTTTATCGTCTGCGCCCTCCCCGATTTTTCGCCCTCCCGGCCAAATTATTTATTTTTTAGTTCCGGTAAATGTACTGTATGCACTGCGATCTATGCCTATACGGCGTCTCTAATCAGCGTGGCTGTAAGTAGATCTTGGAAGGCGAAGTCGGCAGATTGAATCATACATGTAGGTGCTAAAGGCTTGAAAAGTGAAAAGAGATTACCGTATTTTCCCCAATAAATGTACAGTCCTTTTACTTTTTTCAAAGGTGGTGAGACCTGTACTACTGTGGGATTCCCTTCCCTAATAGTAAGACAAGACTATTCTCAGGTTTCATCAGACACTCAAACTGTTCATATCGATAGTAAAACTAAGGTTACTTGTCATGACGGAGAAGAGAGAGAAAGGCAAGAAACACGTGGGCATGCGCGCAGCTTACAAGGCCAGCGATTCGTCACGTGGACAGGAGCAGGAAATACGAGATACAAATGTAAGAAATAACAATCGTCATGCAATGATCACAGTACCGGTAATACACAAGTAATCATTGGCCTGTACTACACTACTATAGGAGGCTGTACTAGTACTGGAGACGTGTACTTTTATTGTTTCTGGAAAGATTGATTGCCTTGGTTGGGTGGCAAACAACTCGTGATAATGATGCTGTAAGGCTGTAAATACACACAGCCATGGCAAGAATCAGTGTACAAAGACACAAAGATGATGAACGGGCAAGAAAAACGAAGTAAGGTGGACCCTGGTATCTGTACCCCGGTAATGCCCGTCACAGCATTCTGGCATGTACTATTATTAGAGACGTGTCCTTTATATTTTTGATACACTCTCAACCTGTACTGCAATTGGAGACGTACTAGTATTGGAGACACGTACGTTTAATGGGGAAAATACGGTATCAGCTGCCTGATTCTCTTTTTTTTTGTCCTACATTGCACATTGGTTGTTTCACTTTTCCCCATTTGCGTCCTCAAAATTGTCTTGCAAGATTTTATTCGTGGCTGACGATTCATCTGCATCACATGGATTTATCTCACTCTGTGCAAAATGGCTTCAAAAAAAGAAAAGTGAAGAAAGAGGCATGTGCAGGGGTTGCGAACACCTAACATACAGCCACACATGC